TTGCGGAGAACAGACACGCCTGCGTTTTGATAGCATTAAATTTGACAAGATTGGCATCACCCCAATCCGAGACTGCCTTAAGTGTCAAATTCAAACCTTATATGTTTATCTGCTTTCTCAGGAATCCGTGACAATCACAATATTCAATCTGTGAAATAAATTTTAATTTATTCTTTAATCAATCCTGAAACTCTGAGAACTACATATTTAGTGGTATTCTATACGTTTATTTGCTAAGTTTAACTTGTTCCCTTCACAACATTTTTTTAATATCGTAATTTTGTCGATGATATACGTCCATCTCTATTTATCTTAACCCCTTCACCGTTATACACATGTCTGTGCACATTTAATGCATTCATGGGCTCTCGAGCGTGGCGACTACGAAGTAACTAACCTCCCCTTTTTATTTTTTATTTATTATTTTAAACGGCACAGTTATAATTTTCAGATTTGAAAGGGTCGCGACGCGTCGTTAGCGTTATGGGGGCACCTGTTGGGTGTTTATTTTTTCTTAAAAACGGTTTAGCTTTGTTGTAAATAGCTGAGAGATCTACGTCGCGCTGAGGTAGGATATTTATAAATTTCGGAAACTACTCAAATTAAACTTGAAATGAAAGGAATTACTCGGCTGTTACTCAACCGATATACATGAAATTTGAAATTAGCATAAAAAATACAATTCTATACAAGATTGCATTGAAGCCCAAATTTTGAATTTCGACCGGTGACCTCAGACAATTGAAGTGAAAGCTCACCATGTTGTTGACAACCCTTGGATATAGTGAGAAATCTCCAACTCGCAACGCGGCAAACTATAGCCTAAATTATCTCCTTAGAGGAGATCGGTGATGATGATGACGATGATGGGCGCTGGTGAGAGACGGGTGCAGTGGTTGTGTCTTTCAGATTTTTGCGACTTAAAACTCTGAGTGGCACTGCAACTGTGGGGATAGGTTGTGTTCCTTATTATCACCATTTTTCGCTGAACAAACACCAGCGATCGGAAAGCAATATTTCTAACCCTTTACACAAACTCCCGTGACGCAGTTTGTCACCATGTTACTATTAGGTACATTTCCTTGTGTTCCCATTGAACTGTGACGATGACATGTGTTAACATGTTACACGTGATTATTGCTGTAGTGAACGTTTTCATGTCTAATCGAGTGTAAAAAATGTGTCTGATATATAAAAATTGTTCTGATTGTGGAGATCAGAATACCAAATAGTCGCAAACGACGAAATTTCGTCTTCTTTTTCTTCTTTTTTTGCTTATTGGTGTTTTTTTTGAAGTGAAGTGAGTAAGTAAATTTCTTTATTTTCTCCACAAAATTGTAACAATTTTTGGTGACGTAATAGTAGTTTAAACGGGATAATTTGTAGAGGCTGGAATCTAAACTTGTATATCCTATATTTTACGTCACCAAGTTGCCAGTTTTGGAAGATGGATTATATCTATTACAATTTGCCAATGTTGACATTTTCGTTTCCTTATTTTGACCAGCTGCGGTCGGATTTTTAATCAGAGATAATTATGTCTAGCAGGTTGTTGTTATAAAAATAGTATTATCTTCTCGGAGATCTTTACTGATCTATTCAGAACCCGTCATGAGGACTAATAAATGCAAATCACTCCAGTTTATCAGCCAGGGCAAAATCGCTGGAAAACGAAGTGTCGGCAAAAAGCGGCACTCCTGGTTAAAGAATTTGAAGAAATGGTTCGACTGCAGTACCACCTCGCTTTTTAGAGAGGGAGTTTCTAAAGTCAGGAATGCCATAATGTCGTCCAACCTCGCATGGAAGAGAAACCCTGAGAAGAAAAAGGTAGAAACTAAATGTAAATGAAAAAAAATGCATAATTTTTTTTTGGCACAATAAAAGTAAAAAAAGGTTAATTAAATTTTTATTGAATTGATATTCAATTATTTTTTGTGAAATTACTCCACTAGTTTGTTATAATTATTATTACAAAGATCGAACACTCAGAAAAAATTCCTTCGATGATAAATCTGTTAAAGATTTCTCATAGATGGCGCTACGACTAAAAAGTCGTTGAAAGACCAAGTACAAAGACACGACGCAAGCACATAGAAAAATTCGTGAGGTTCGTTGGTTCGTTCCGTGGCTTAGTTGGTATAGCGTCTGACACGGTATGCAAGAAGACGTCGATCCGACCGGATCGAAGGAATTTTTTCTAAGTGTTTTTTCTGAGTGTTCGATCTTTGTATTAATAATTATAAAAATTGAAACAGAATCCATGAAAAAAAAGGTTTTCATGGATTCTGTTTCAAAGAATTTATGGAAAAGGTACTGAACCAAATATATGACTATATGTGGCAACATTATAGTACTGCATACTCCTTACGTAATTCTACCGACAAGAAGTAACGTGAGCATTACTGTATTCCAGTTTTGAAGGGTAAGGGTGCTGGTGAAAATACAGGCACGTTCATGGAACTGTAACTGTTATGGACAGGCGCGTCGCTTACCACCAGGCGCACGACTTGTTTGTCCCATTATTTGGTATCATAAAAAATATATAAAAGAGGTACTTTTTTTATTAAAGATTTTCATGAATAATACGACTACATGCTAGATAAGAAGGTCGCGGGTTCGATTCACGGTAAGATCAATTTAGAAAACGACTGTCTGCTCCTCGGAGTTAATTTCGTTATTCTGGTGCTCACAAATAATGACCCTAGTTGAAGACATCTTGATGTGATTGACTGATTTATTTATTTTTATTGTTTTATTAGTCTACAATAGTAAATAATTTATGATAGGAAACTTCAAAAAAGATAACTGTCGGTGAAAGTGGACAAGATGGTGGTCGCAGTCAAAAAACTTGTCACTATTACTGAACTCGGTTTCTGATTCTATTCTCACTTTGTTAAATAAATTTATTACTCCTGTTCTAAGGTGACACAGTTTCGAATCATACGACTCTACAAAAGGACAAATATTTGCCATAAATAATCGTCCTCAATCCATGTCTGATCGAACATTAAAGCAATTTACACAGAATTTATAGCACCACGATGAGATAAAGGGTTGAATTAAAGCCCCGAAAAAAAATGGCCAGCACATGCACTATTAAACTATTAAATAAATTATACACACCTCTTTTTACAATTTCATTATTTGCTTTTTATTAATCATTAAGATATATTATTGCTATATATAAATTATACGTAAAGAAGCTTATTCATGTCTTCTAATCAAATATGACTCGCAAAACATCTCACCAGTTTTATTGTCAACGATAATGCTTGCCTGTATTAGGATACAAGCAATGCCACCTATTGGTAGCGTTCTGCACTAAATGCGTAGCGTTGTGGCCGTGGCTTAGTTTGTGTTGGTATAGGTAGTTAACGTAATATTATTTGCACTGATTCGTCTTATCGCTTCATCTTTGGAGTACAATAGGAGAAAAGAGTGAGCCGACTAGGTAACGCACGTGACATCTGTATAGTGACAACAACTAGATTAAACACTTTTTGTGCCAACTATAAGGTGTTGAAAGACCCATCTGAGCTCAGTCTGCCCCTTTCGCTTTGTATGGTATGGTCGTGTCATTCTTTCTCGCAAAATTCTCTAAAATCCTAGAGTAATGCCATATTGTGCTGTTTTGGAGTGCAAAAATTATAGCCGCACCAAAAATAGGTATAACCCGTTAACAAATTTTCAATTTTCTGTTTATCGAAATATTTTTTGTTACAAGAAACTTAAGTAAAGATTATAATCTTAGGGGAACACCCCTGCAGAATGGTCGCTTCGTGTTTGGAGAACTGAATTAATAACTCCACTCGTCTGTCGTCGTTCAGCAATTAACCGCTAGATGGCAGCACATTGATTAATATTTCAATATAATATCAAAACGTCGTAACTTGTAATAATAGGTATTGAACTTGCAATAAATATGCCAACAAGGTAAAGTTAATATTATATTAATAATCCAGAATTTGTTATTTATTTTTAAATTTGAAACTACGACCAATCAATATCAAGATTTTGTAGTGTTTCAAATAATGTGTGAGGTTAGGCGACATCGTACGTAACGCACTGTTGCGTTTATTCAATTCAATTCAATATTCTTTATTGCACAATAAACAAGCAAAAATACAAAACAATCAAAAATACAGTGTACAACAGGCGGCCTTATTGCTAAATAGCAATCTCTGCCAGGCAACCTTGGGGTGATAGGATAAACTAAAAGTAGTAATAATAATAGAGGGCGCAATAAATATGATATTATTATTAAACATCATAATATATGAATGAAATAAATAATAAATATCTACTAACATGTAAATTACATAAATACTTAAATACTAATATAATACATACAAATAAATATATTATCACCACAGAAGAGGAAAAATAAAAAATAAAAAAAACCAATAAGACAGCAGAGTAGAATTTATAATTTAAGGTAATGAGCCTTAACTAGGATTTTAAATGACTCAATAGTCTTTGCTCGTCTGATCGACTCAGAGTTTATCTAAGAGTCCTGCTGGAAACGCGGGAAATGAAACTAAAATTCGTATGTAAATCGCGTATTTTCAAACAAACCAACGGTCTCATTACTCAGCGATGATCATGGAACCTTTAAAGAACCTTAAACATTTTTGTTTATTTAAAACAAAACAAATGTTCGCGATTTAGATTTAAAAAAATAAGTTCCGGGACTATAGAACCAAAAAATATCTATGAGGTAATTTCGAGCCTAAAAACGCATAGCTTATTACTTAATTTGACATTCTGCAACGAAAAAATTACGTAAATTAGTACCTACGTAACCTAATAAAGTCGTAATTAAATATGTATGAACGCAATGATACAGTAATATTCAAAAAAGACGCGATGTACGGCTCCACGCCTAAAGTGCAACCGGCACCTTCGATATAGCTATCTCTGTCTATCTTGTGTGGAATTCGCGCGACTTTTGCAACGAATCCACAAAAACGTGAGTTTAAAGTCCAGGATTCTTCGCATAGTATAAAAAGTGTGAAAATGTTGCAGATAATTTATTTTGAATTGTCAGCATAAGTTTAGAGTGCCGTGTATTTTTATAAAAATGTTTTATTGCAATCATTATATTATTATTATCTGACGAGATTTCATTGTATTTAACACTATCTTTTCATCAATTGCCTTAATATTATCAATATGTCTTTTAAATCGATAATAAACAGCAAATTATCTAAGAGACTATTGAACAGTCAAATTGTAAAATTTTTTGGAACTACTGCTAACTCGGTAAGTAGGTCAAATATTGTTTCGACTATTCTAACCTCAAAATGTAAAGAACTTTGATGTTTTGCATTTATTTACAGAAAGGTTACCTTTTCTTTGGATTAAAGAATATTATTAATGCCTTAATAAAAATATTCTCGTAATATCTACAAGTTTAAACACCATTTTTGATCGTGACCTTGCGTGTTGAAAAAATATATATCCGTGAACTTGAAATTTTGTGTCAAATAGAGATGCGACGTGCTTAGAGTGAATGAACGTACAAATATTTTTATGCCAAGTAGTATCAATTTGTGATGCGATTAATTGATTTGAAAATTAAACTTTGTTATCGAGAAACTACATAGATGTTGTAGCCGACATTAATAGAATCTTTATTTGGTAGAAGTAGCAAAAAGTCGTAAAGGGCAATTTGCCAACAACCAACAAGGTCCTAGAGTCTTTTGTCATAATACATATTTTATGAAAATGCAATATTAAATTAAGAAGAATAGTAATTGTTTTATGAAAAAAACTACGAGGGACAAAAATAAACGGATAGTTTTTCACAAAATCACAAAGGCTATAAATAATAATAATAATTTAAATACGCTCTACAATAAGATTTGTTACTATTCAAAATTTCGACTGAGAACTGGCAACTGGTACTATCTCAATTTTCTAAAGATTTCACTTTTTAATACCATTTTATACTATATCTTACTCCACAGGGTTGCAAGAAATTTCATTGTTTTTAATGAGATGTGTAATAAAAAAAAACTGCGTGTTATTTAATAAACCAGATACTATATAAATCCTGTAAAGTTGTCAAAATTGAGATAGTACCGGTTGACAGTTCTTGTGTGACTTTGGAATTTGGACCGATCTTACCTCAAGTACGAAATGAAACTATTTTTCCGGATTTAAATCGCGTATATTTGTTTTTTCAAACAAACCGACGTTTCGGGCCCTTTACCCTTGGCCATGGTCACGGTTGACTGAAATTTACCTCAAGTGTCATAGAGTTGAATTATAATCTTTCGTTTCAAGCTTGATGTACTCTTGTACCTGTACAAAATACTTTAAACAGCTCCTTTGTATATCGAGTTCTTAGATTTTCGCAATTTGTTACACAAATGACATGAAACAATTTTTTTTCGGATCCCAATCGCGTATAATTGTTTTTAAGCAAACCAACGTTTGACGGGCCCTTTACAGGTCCCATGGTCACGGTTGAGTGAGGTGGTCATCATCAACCAGTTACGTCTAATACTAATGCAAACCACCCTATTTTGTCTATTGTTACAAAAGTTAGTAATTAAATACCTTAATTTTTTTTTTCAGAGAAACATTCCAATTTATTATTTAATTATATTTGTATGTTTCGACGAAACTGGTTGTAGTAGCACTGTTAATGTATTGAACTGATCTGATGAACTTATTGTACCTACTTCCACAAATAAATCGATCTTTATCTTTTTACGCTACACGTGTTTTACAAAATGATTTTATTTTAACAATATTATATTTTTTTATTAATTTTATTATGAAGTAATAATAATGGTAATTAAAATTAATTACAATATATAAATTAGTATTGAAATCTTATGTCTGCTTTTTTAAATTAAATAATTTTGTGAAAAGTTTCTTTGGAATATTTAAAAATAAGGTATTTCATTAGTAACTTTCATAACAATGGTCAAAAATAGGGAGGTTTGCATTTATACACATAACTGGTATCAACCAGTACAGTACACAGCTGACTAAAATGCTATAAAAGTTTGAAAAATAAATATACGCAACTTAGATCTGAAAAAATTGTTCATTTCCTAAGCTTCTGTGTAGATGATAAAAATCCATGGAAGTGAACTGTTTGGCTCTATGTGGTTGCTTCTACCTTTCATATCGTAGATAATAATAATAAAAAACAAGAAAACAAATACACATAAGTCGAGCCACCACGCATTTTCAGTTTTAAATGCCCTAAGCTTAAACAATGTTTGATTGGTCCAAAATATTATGCAATTTTGAAAATACTATACTAAACGTCTTTTTCATAAATCCTTGTTGAGAATTTGGATTTGCAAAACTGGGGAAAAATTTTTCTTCGATGATAACTTTATTTTTGTATTCAAGCCCTTTACGACAAAAATGCGAGGTGTCTCGAATTATGTGTCCGGGAGTATACATATATTGTAGTAGAACATATTTTAACAACCTAATAAAATTTAAGAAATTAAGATTTGTTTCAATCCTTATTTTTTACAGACTGAACCAGTACTGACAGTGAAACAAGGAAAGCTAAAGGGCGCAGTAGAAAAGATTTACAATGGTGACCAGTATTTTAGTTTTAAAGGCATACCATACGCCACACCGCCAATTGGAAAATTAAGATTTTCGGTAAGTAACTCATGACCTCTTGATTTGTCACAATCATCGCATTTCTATAAATTATAAAATATTTAGAATAATTACGTCATACGAGGGTTTACTATCTAAGTTTGGAATGACACACTCCATAGACTTTGTCACCATTTAATTGATTGCCCGGATCTTGTGCAACATATTAGATATAATGTACCAATGAGAGTTTATCGACGGCGAGTGCGCTCCTACTCGTTTAAAACGGCGACCTGCAGAACAAATGCTGGCAAGCGAGTTCCTCTACGTCGTATTCTTTCTCATTACAATGATTTGTTTGCCTGCTTCTAAATTTAAAAAAAGCTATTATTGATACCCTGAGCTCATTGACTTACAATTATATGGACGTCGGGTCCGCGCTAAAAAGTGTCCGCACTTGTAAGGCGCTAAAATCGTATACAGAGCGCCAAACTCCGCTTTAGTCTTCATTTGTTCGACTGACAGCGCGATACTGCGATGACATTACAATTTAAATTTCGAATAGGTTGACTTGGGACATTTTTTTCGTGGTTTTTGTATTAGACCCGACGTCCATTTATTTGTAAGTCAATGCCTGAGCTAATTTCTTTTTTTACATTTCATTTGTTTTAGTTTATTTAGCCCTACCCATCACACACGACAATTTATATTTTCATTCTAATAGTAACTTGTGGATAATGCTGTTGATTGTACGTGTACCTATGTTAGAAATATTTAACTCTGATTGTAAACATTTCATGTACAATTGTTTGTTATCCCTGAAAAATAAATAAATAAATAAATAAATAAATTTCAACGTGTGAAAATATAGAGCATAACGATGAAATATACAATAATTTCGTAGTCGTGAAGGCCATCTTAGTTGAACTTGCTATTTTTACACAATAATGGCATTTGTGTACCGTGATTCGCTCAGTGATGAGTAATTCATAAATTAAAGTTGAAGAGCGTTAATTTTATATATTTTAATTTATATTTTCAGGCACCTCAAGCACCACAATCATGCCAAGGTACACTAGACGCTACAGAACATGGTCCCGTGTGCCCCCAATATGACATAAATATGAGACAATATACAGAAGGAGACGAAAACTGTCTATTTCTAAATGTCTACACAAAGTCCCTACAATCAAATTCTAAATTGCCAGTCATGGTTTACATACATGGCGGAGGTTATGTTTCAGGGTCTGGAGATTCAAATTTCCTAGGCCCGCAATATTTCCTACAACACGATATTGTGTTAATCACATTTAACTACAGACTTGAAGTACTAGGTTTCTTGTGTTTGGACACTCCTGAAGTCCCTGGAAACGCAGGTTTGAAAGATCAATTAGCGGCTTTAAGATGGGTGAAGGATAATATTCGACATTTTGGAGGCGATCCTGACAATATCACTTTATTTGGAGAAAGCGCTGGTGGTTCTTCAGTGTTATATCATTTGCAGAATCCAAGAACAGAAGGTTTATTTCATAAGGCAATTGCGCAAAGTGGAGTGCATTTGTCGGATTGGGCGCAAGGTACAGATGGCAGAAGCAGAGCGTTTAAAGTAGGAAAGACTTTAGGAAAAGATACGAATGACACATCAGAACTGCTTGAATTCCTCCGTGGGGTTCCAGCTATTAAACTCACTAAAATGACAACAAATGTATTGATGAATGACGAAAAACATAGAGGGTTGCCACTTCATTTCGTACCTGTAGTAGAAAAGAAATTTGAAAACGTAGAACCGTTCATCACTGAGAATCCATTGAGTTCTGTTGTGCACGGCAAATTACGAAATTTACCATTAATAGTTGGTTACAATTCTTCTGAAGGTATTGTCGTACTTGGAGATCAAATAAAAAAGAAAGAATTTTACAACAAGAACCCTCATTACTATTTACCAAGGGAAGTCGCCAGACGTCTGTCAGAGGAGAAACTCAAAGAATTTGGCGACAAAGTGAAGAAATTCTATTTTGGAAATGAAGACATTGGTCCAGAAAACCTTCAAAGTTTAGTCAATGTTAATTCTGACGTTTTGTTTGTGTACAATATTCACAGGTTTCTTAACTTATATTCTCAGCTTAATAAAGACGTATTCATGTACGTATTTGATACTGTCACAGAGTTGAACATAGTGAAGCAAATGTCTGGTTTTCCTCATGCTAAAGGAATGTGTCACGCTGATGATTTGTTCTATTTTTTCCATTCTATTATGACCAGCGACTATTATGAAGAGCAGGAAAGATTGAGAGATATTGTTTTCAAGGTGACAAAGTTGTGGGTGGACTTTGCTAAAAATAGGTGAGTTCTACACTTTTATAAGCCTGACGTTCAGTGGGGTTCAGCTAGATTTTGCTCATACCATTGTTCATATACAGGGCACCTCTAGTTTGACTTTTCAGCTGTATATAGTGTTTAGTACAATAGGAACATTACTGTGCTTCGGTTTAGAAAGGGTGTTGATGAAATTACAGGCATATGGGACTTGCGAACTGAAGTTTCATGGTGACAGGCACAGTGGCAGTGTCACTCAGATCTTTGTGATTTAAAAGAACACCTCTTGATCGCTTAACACCAAGCGGACGAGTTGTTCCTACTGTCACTTGATATCATATTTACTCAGACTATAACCTTTTCTGTTATATAACCGTTATTTTTTGTATTAAATCGGGCACTGCCACTGCGTCCGTCACCCTGGGACCTAAAGTTGCCTGTAATTTCACCAGCATGCTTGAGCTTTAAAATTAGGAACGCATTAATGCCCACATTGCACTTGTCGGGAGAAATATGTCGGAGTTCCACTGTTACTAAAAATGTATACACACTGATGGATCTTGTCCGAGGCGATATTCAAGCAAAAGTGTATAACTTGATATGCTGTTCACTGTACTTACAATAAATATAAAAAATACTTAATTTTTCTTCGTTTTGGTTTGACAGTGAAAAAACATCCCTTTGAAACTATATTGTGTTTGTGTGTTTGATGACGGTGATAATTTTCTTTCCAGTAATCCAACACCCGAGGGTTCGAGCGTCACTTGGCCGAGATACACTCCTGTTAAAAGGGACTTCTTAGTTATCAATGAGACTTTCAGAACTGACCAGTTCCCTCACAAGGACAGAGTTGATTTCTGGGACAAACTTTACGAGGAAGCTGGACTACCTAATAAGATTAATGTTAAGAGTAACTTGTAGATAGCCTATGACTTCTGTCTGTTCGTATTTGTGGGACATAATTGCGTACGATACAATTGTTGGTCATTTCACATCTTTAGCAAAAGACCGTTTTAAAATGATAAAAAAAAACATTTTTGCGTTACTTTTTTCTGTTTGTCATCAACTGAAATATGGTCAAACATTTTCGTTTCACCCTGTATAAACGGTGATAAAATATTAATTACTCGATCTAAATCCTTTGATATCAATAAAATTGTTTTACAGCTTTCAATTACTAATACCAGAAATAGAGACGAAATGTCATTTAATTTGTTTGAAAACTATTCTGCCAAATCATTATTGTGACAACTGTGCTCCAATTAGCCAGCCCGAATTCGAAACAATTGACGGGTATCGCTAATTGTTTCACTTCAAATTGACCAGTTTAACTTCAGCTTTGCCATAATTGACGAAAATTGTAAAATTACATATTTAATATTTAATTACCGATCAAATGTGATTCCGTTTGTTTTGTAATTAGATGTTCTAAACTTAAAAAGACTATAAAATATACATACAAAAGAGATTTGTAGCGACTGCATCGATTCGCTACACTGAAGTTTTAATTTATACAATGCATTTATTAATTTAAATCACTTCAGTCAATAAACTGCCATCTTAAAACATAAGCTAAGTTAAAAAATATATAATTTAATATCTGGTCTAACAAGCGTTTAGTTAACAAATACACAACCTGTTACTGTCTTAAATTTGTCAGTAGCGTTGTTTAGTTATTTACATATTTGCATATTTATCGACTGGGTGTCTTGACCAATGAAATCGCCTCACTGAAATAGTAGAGGGAAAAACAAATGTGAGGGGAGTTTAAAGGTTTAAGAGTATTCTACCCTCGGAAGAAATAAAGACACTAATTCAAAAATCGAATATAAATGAGTCAATAGTTAAAATATATTTTTTAAAGAGTAGTTTATTTATATTAAGACTCTATACAACCTCAAATGGCTTTGGTTAATTGAAAGTTTGAATCAATTACTTTAAAAAAAAATTAATGGAAAAAATATATTATGAGATTGTATACAGTGTGAAAACACGATTCCTATAAACTTTCACGATAGAAAAGAAACACAAACTTACGTCGAAATTTTACATGAAACCTGCTGTATTCAACAGGTACATCAACTGAACTAAATACGTAAACACGTATCGAATTTTACGAAAGTAAAAAAATGAATTTCGAAATAAAACCAGTGTCCTTGCCGTTGGACGCAAGCAAATTGAACCGTATTAGTATGGGAAAAAATTTAATTCGAGCTGAGGTTGTATCGTAAATATACGTAAGATAATAATTATAATTTATGTCGATATACTTTCGTTGAACATCACAATGCTTTTGCTACCATGATATTCAATTATTGTTGTGAAATTACTCCACTAGTTTGTTATACAACTTAGTAATTATTAGTACTTATAAATTAGTAATACAACTGCGGTATGGCGTAGCTGGTTTAAGTCTAGCCGGTTCGAAGAAATTTTTCTATCTTCGATCATTGTATTAATAATTTTTAGTAGAAACGATTATTAAAAATATTATAATAACTTAAATGTTTTGTGTGTTGTGTTGGGTGTAATTTGTGGTTATCTATGTGTGTGTCCATGGCACCCGCGACACAGGGTTTCCCTAGTGCGGGGCTATGTTGAGTGTGTGCGTTATTATTATTATAAATAATCATAGTCATTTGTGTCTGTTTGTGTTATTTATGAAGTAGGTAAACTATACATACTAAGGGTTCAATTCCGTACATTACTAAGTAAAACCCTGTGATATTAGTGATTTTAACACTATAAACGTCAAATATGACTTTAACTGACTTCCTACAAGGAGGAGGTTCTCTGGACGTTATGCGATTATCACCGCATCTGTGAACCGATTTTGATGACTTTTTTTTGTTGGAAAGAGGGTGTTGTATCGGTCCCATTTAAATTTGAAGAAAATATTAAATCGCTAAGGGTGTCAAACTAGGGAGTGAATCCGGTTTCGCGGACTTTCCGGTAACCGATTTCAATAACACTTGCCAAACAGATGTAATTACAAAATGTTGTGGTCGTTTTTTTTAATAAAAAAGTTATAATTGTTATGGCAGAAATTTTGATTATTAACGTCAGTTTTGATCTTAATGTATATTCAACAACTATTGATATAGTTTTTTACAGATAATAAAGTAAAATGGCCTTTGTTTCTTAATCTCGAATATGTTATATTAGGTACTGAATTTTGATAGAAATGTTAGTTTAGTTAGAGAGCAGTACATGGAGGTAATTAGCTACTTGCCGAGTATTAAATAATTATTGTAGTAACAATATATATGTTATATTTATGTTATTATAAATAACACTGTGAAATATTACGAAAATTTAAAGAATCCGTGTGTTTTTAATTAAAATCCCTAATTCTTCCAGTTTATGTAGCGTATTGAACATACTGTATGTACGTACCATTATACTAAGGGTCGTATTCTAGAACTCTACTCAATGTTCAAGTTAGGATTTGAGTATGGTTTAAAGCACTCGAAATCATACTCAAGTCCCTGCCATTAGGGTCGTACTTCCAGTACTTGTGTTTCCATTGCAATCCTGACTTAAGCATTGAGTAGAGTTCTAGAATACGACCCTTAGTCTGTCTACCAGCAGGGTTACCAGTTTTCATAAAATTTTAAATAGTCATGTACTTATTGTCGACAGTTTTATCGATAGATTGTGATAGAAGGCAAAATTTTGTCAAAAATGTCTAAATTATGAATGTTACGACGTTCTAGTGATTGCTAATTGTGTTATTGCCTTCGTAATTCTTATTTTGATTGTTGGCCTACTAGTATCGAAATAAATTTCTATTAATTACATTTTAATAAGGACAGGCGAATTTTGTTATCGATATTGAATTAAAATAAACTTTTGACTAAATTAATTACCAAACGTGCGAAAAAATTAACGCTTCAATATTAGCCATTTACGAGGTTTATAAATATAGTGAAACAATAGAACAATCACAGTGATCGAGTCGGAAATGAGGAGATCCGTAGAAGAACGAAAGTCACCGACGTAACTCGAAGGATTAGGAAGTAGAAGTGGCAGTAGGTAGAGCACATTGCTCGTAGAACTGACGGCCGTTGGGGCAGAAAGGTTCTTGAATGGAGATCACGAACCGGAGGGCGTTCAGTGGGACGGCCCCCTACTAGATGGACGGAAGACCTGTAAGGACGGCGGGTAACCGATGGGTGCACGTCGCGTTCGATCTGGTCTGGAAATTTTTGGAGGAGGCCTATATTCAGCAGTGAACGTCTTCCGGCTGACATGATGATGATGAAGAATAATAGAACATTATTGCGGAGGCCGGGAAATAAGGGACTGCTGGATGTGCACGAGTTGCAAGCCCGAGCGCCAATGAGTTAAGCAATCCCCGTTCCCGCCGAAGCTTTTCTCAAATAATGTGAGCAAATAATAATACAGAGAGGGATATGTATAATATTAAAAGTAATATTTGAGATTTCGTAGGACACAGCGCACAGGCGCGTATGCGTGACCAAATTTTACAGGAGTGGCGACGACTTTATTTTTTGCACATTAAGAATGAGAGTCGTATTCCAGAACTCTACTCAATGCTCAAGTCAGGACTTGAGTATTGTGCAGTGAGCACTGAAAATCATACTCAAGTCCTTGCCATTAGAGTCGTATTTCCAGTGCTTGAAATCATACTCAAGTCTGCTCAAGTCCTGACTTGAGCATTGAGTAGAGTTCTGGAATACGACCCTAAATTTCAGTTATTTACGGATTGATAACAATAGGTTGCCGTAAATCAGGCTAATGTGGTTGCCACGACGTTTACGCGGATTTGGTTGGGTCATTAACTTCCTGAAAAGGTAACTTCATAACGTATGTTAGTTACGTGTACCTAATTGCACTATCCCCGACGATTTGCCTCAATCGAATACTATACCCCGATTTCAAAGAAAAAAGGTTCTCAATGCGACTGTATATTTTTTTTGTATGTATGTTACGCGATAACTCCGGCTTGTGAACCGTGAACCAATGTAATGATTATTTTTGTCTAATGATTCTTTTTTGTTTGAAAAGAATCAGCAGTATTGGTCCCATTTAAATTTGAAGAAAATAATCGACCCACCCTTAGATGATGGCAAATTAGGGGATGAATCCGGTTTCGCGTACTTTCCGGTAACCGACTTTAATTCAATAAAACTTGGCAAATAGGTTAAAATAAAAAAAAAACCACGAACTTTCGAGGTTGGTTTTTAAACTTATAATTTATTAAAGTAACAATTGCAGTGCCACTCAGAGCTTTATCTAAATATTTATTAAATCGTAAAGATCTGAGGGGCACTGCCACTGCGCCCGTCACCCTGAGAGATAAGTTGACAAGTCCCGTGTGCCTGTAATTCACCAGCACCAGTACCCTTCAAAACCTGGACGCAGTAAAATGTGACCACACATTACTGCTTGGCAGATAGGTAAGGCGGCTCTACTGCTGTTAAAATTGTACAGGTAGGTATTACGAAAAACTGGCAATTACGAACAGTGGATAGTTGATCAAATGTACTAAATTTTTTTGTTCCTGTCGGGCAAAAAAGACAGCCTAGCATCACAAAAATAATGTTGCCTCGTTTTCAGTAGCTGGTTAATGATTTCAGTAAAATCCGGTAAGTAAATGTCTTCTTTAGTCAAATCTCCTTTTGTATATTTCTTCATTCTAAGTGAAACTCGATAAACCTGTAGTATAAACGCTGTGAAAATATGTTAAAGAACTTGAGAGTAAAAATAGGTCAATGACAATTCCGTGCGTGTACTCAACTTAAGTACAACAGCGCCATCTATTGAAGTCGAACGGCACAATATTAGTAAACAGGTTGTTGACTGCAACCAGCTGATTATAGTTGTGTTATTTTTAGGTTAGTTTAAGTTAAAGATAATAATAAGTATTTGCATGCTGTCTCGGGTCATTATAATTAATCGTTTGGTTTATAAAGTCTGTGAATCTTTTATTTACTTAATAACCGTGAACGTCAAGGGGTGTTTCATTGGTTTTTGTTATCTTTATTATAAAATCTCTGTGACCTTTGTTAAATACTGTTCAAGAGAAGGCTTTTGAAATTGACAACGACATGGTAAGTATATATAACTAGGTAATTGTAGTTTTGTAGCTAAAATATTAAATCTTTTATCGTAAAGCATTTGTTTTTTTTATGATACAAGTGACGGCACGAACAAGTCGTTCGCCTGATGGAAAACGACACCCCCGTTCCATAACAGTTGCAGTGCCACTCAGAGCTTTAAATCGCAAAGATGTCAGAGACATAAGTTAACAAGTCCCGTGCGCCTGTAACTCACCAGCACCAGTACCCTTCAAAACCTGGACGCAGTAAAATGTTACATTACTGCTTGGCAGATAGGTAAGACGGCAGTACTTCCTTGGACGAACTCTTTTACAAACGTCTCTACCGCTACAGAAAAAAAATACTTTTCACCTCAGCAGCTCGAACAAGGCTATTTTGCTGTGTGAAATCAGTGAGCAAAATCTTATTTTGCTCACTCCGTGAGAAAAAGTAGCTTTTTGCTTTTTAAGTGGAGACTTGTCATTTAATGCGAAGGGGTCTAATACAAATTCGACATATTTCAAAATCAGTCGCTCCGTCCCTTTCACTTCATTACAAGAAAAAGGAAAAAGAAAATTATGGTTTATTCGTACTTCGATATTTAAGCTACATAGTAGACCCCCACAAAATGGCTGAACGAGTGCACGTTCGGAAACTCGTCAATTCATCTAAAAGATAAATTATGTGAGAAATACAAATACGATTTTATACTATGATAATTTAGTTTTTACAATTTTCATTAAAAATAAAGCAAGTGTTGCAATAAAAATATGCTAAATGTTTTTATTACTTGTCCCTTTAGTATATATATATGTTCTCGCTGCTGAGGTGAAAAGTTGTATGTATCACGCGAGAGCAAAGTTATTTTGCAGCTCGTATTTTTGAGTCCCTCGCTTCGCTCAAGATTCTAATTCTGAATCACTCGCTACGCTCGTGATTCAACTATAGAATCTTTCGCTTGCTCAGGACTCAAAAACAGCACTCGCACCAAAAAACGACTTTGCTCTCTTGTTGAACAAATAACTATTCTCAAACTCGTATCTTACGAACAGTGATTACTCATGAGATGGCAAAACTTTCTATTAATAAATAGAAAATTAAAATATTAAATTTCTTATCAATGGTGTTAGTTTGGACGCATTACTTTAGGAATAGCTCAAATCCAGTGTGTGAATATGAAGGAAATGTAATGTGCATCCGCCTGCAAAGTTGTTTTTAATACAGTTGCTCAAAACGTGGTATTTTTCGCACTACAAATCGTGCGGAAAGTTGGATTTCTCGCACTAGTGCTTTTTACTTTTCCAGTTATTTTTAAATTTACTGTTGTTTCAAATCTTAAGCACAGAACTAAAGAAGTTGTATATTTATTTATGTGCTTTGTGACGTAAGTCATTCGTCATTAAAACTTATATTTATTTACAAATACTATTTAATAAACGTATCGAATGGAGGTCCACAGTCTCTGCCTACCCCTGAATGGGTGACAGGCGAGATTTTTATGTATTATTTGTCCTATGTATTACAGATAAATTGTATCTCATTACCGTGCACGGGTTCCTAAAGAAGTTTAAACAAAAGTACCAGGACTTCATAATAAGAAAAGTGGTTACAGACCGATATTACAGAAAATAAACAAAAACAGCACGTTAGAACTAGATTTCCATAGACTTTTAACTAATGGTTGCAGTGGTTGTATTTCATTATTTTAATTTACTAGCAGAAAATGAGTTTTGTTTAAATACTGTTTTATTTTACTTTCAATGTAGTTTTTTCGCAAATGTATTAAAAAACGTCGTTTGATACACGTGCGGATTTGTCATTTTCACTTGTCTCGCGTCTTGACCCTCGCCTCTGGCTCGGGCCAAGAAGCCTCGAGACTCGTGAATAATGACTAACTTTCCGCACTTATATCAAAAATAACTAATATACAATCCATTTTTTGCAATTCAATAATTTTGCGCTCTAAGATACGAGTCTGAGAAAGTAAGGCGACGATATAACAATACGCGACTCGTACAAAAATTTACCTTTCAGGTCATTGACTTACAATTATATAAACGTCGGGTCCGCGCTAAAAAGTGTCCGAACTTATAGGGCGTTAAAATCGTATACAGAGCGTCATTCTTCGTTTGTTCGACTGACAGCGAAGCAAGCAAAATTAGACAGTACTGCGATGACATTACAATTTAAATTCAACGTTTTAGCTTTTTCATATTCCTTTACATGTCACTACGTTTAAATAGGTTGACTTGGGACATTTTTTTCGTGGTTTTTGTATTAGACCCGTCGTCCATTTATTTGTAAGTCAATGTTTCAGGTTTTCTTAACGACATCCAATTCATTCTTAAAATGTTAATTTGACTTACAATAAGACTATTCAAAGTCCAAGGTCTAAACTCCAGTGGTCGCTTGAGGCGTATGATCGTAACCGTAGGCAAATAAACGCCATTTATAGCCGCTTACGCACATGATATAAATAATGCAAGTCATATACCTATGCAAATAGTTGTATTGTACATAAATGATTTTCCAATAAGGACATAACAATTTTGTATTGCAACAGAACACACGGTAATTGAGACATTGAGTTGAAACTTATTCCAAGTGCCGTACACATGTTATATTTAAGAATGGAATTCGATCTCGTTGACATGACCACCGCGAGCACTTATTATGTACATTGCAAATAAATAAATATGTATATTATTCAGTAAATAAATAAATTATGCACGCACTCATAGCCCTGCTCTGGGGAAACCCTGTCTCGCGAGTGTCATGGCGACATACATAGACAACTACAAATTACACCCAAACTCACGAAATAAATGAATACAAATTCTTCTCCCGGCCCGGGACCTCTGTATGACAGACCAGCATGGTAACCATTTGTCAACCAGGTAACCAGTCAAAAAGTACGTAGTACTAGTAACAGTACATTGCGAACGTTAAAAAGACGGTAAATAAGAAATTACTGCTTTAATAAGGGCTTTTATAACTCGACTTTTGTATTTTTTTACCGCCCACGATACATACAAAGTTTTTCATCATCGCATTCGCTAGAAAATAAATACAATGTTTATTTCTTATATGAATAAATATTCACACAAGGTTCACAATCACAACAATTATAAATGGATTTTGAAAATGACGGGTTTTTTGTTTTTTTTTTTATCATTAAATGGCCAGTTATTCTTCCATAGACAATATAACTCGAAGTAACGTAGTAAAGAGCAAAGATGCATACAGCTATGGTAGAAAGTAATTAAAATCCATTAAAAGATTTGAAGAGATTTTTTTTATAATATGTAGTGACGGGACGAACTGGAAGCTACTCGCCTGTCCATAACAGTTGCAGTGCCACTCAGAGCTTTAAATCGCAAAGATCTGAGGGGCACTGCCACTGGACCCGTCACCCTGAGACATCAGTTGACAAGTCCCATGTGTCTGTAATTTCACCAACAATTTAAATAAACAATTTAAGTAGTATGTGGCTGAGTTGCAGTTAATTTCTGTCTAGACAGCATATTAAGCGAATGCTTTAATTTTGTACTTAAGTAACCTACTTGCTTAAACTTGAACTTGATTTATGTAAGGAAGTATGTCGTGCTACAAATTTAAAAAGCTCCTCACCGAACATGGCTGTAACGGGAAAAAAAGGCCCGAGGGGTTTATTTGGAGCATTATAGTCATATTATAGTCAAGTTAGCCACCATGCTTTTGTACTATTTACGAGCAAGTGTAATGAAAAAAGTATTTTATCTACACACATATCATAAACTCTCTATAATGTGTTCAAAAACCGCAAATTACTGTTTTGTTAGAACAAATTTCTTATCTGTGAAAATGTTATTATTGCTTCTTAATAACATTGAATTCGATGTTATTATTACATTCAAATTTCGAACATCTCTGAAAAACAAAACAATTTGATTGGACCTCAATTCTAATATCAGTCGAGATGACGTTTTATTCGAAATTAAATGTCAATAGCAAACAATTTTGACAATTTCACACGTTACTTCATATCGAACGGTATGATAGTCTGGACAGTTTGTTTATGAATTAAAAATAAAAACTATTTGTTGTTAAAAATAAAACTAGTTGCGTGACATGCGCGAGAAAAGTTTTTATTTGCCGCCATTTCACATACACATGTAACATGCGGTTCCTGAACACATCACAGGTAACTAACGTCAAAACTAAAGTAAGAAGACTTAATAACAAAAGTATAGTATAATAGTTTATGCGACTGTTGCATAATGAAAGGCGAGTTTCATAAAAACATCTCACGAGTGTTTTAATGCCTAATTGTGTACATACACTGCTTAATCTACACACATATTATTAAACGGGTGCTCATCTCTGGAGCTGTGTTATCAGTACCACCGAGAAAAGTTGAACAGTGCGACGAAGACGGTTTCAAAAAGACGGAAAGGAAAAAGAAGTACACCAGCCGTAATCTTAGTGGCGCCACCCCGAATGGCCCTAATCATTTATATTGCGTCCAGCGATACCGTCGATGTTGTTATACATACGTGTCACGGCTTCATTACTTCACAGAGTCTGCCGACATTGTGGAGTATATACGGGTGAAAACCAATGCTACCCTGAGGGTGTACCAGTTGGGGTCCCGTCACGATGTGATTAATTTGTGGCGAGAGTACCAACTCAACATCTGTCGACCTTCATGAAGGATGAGTTTTGACCGAAGGGTGTCATGTACCGACGTTTCCGAGGCCGGCTACCGGACACCCAAGTTGCGTCACACGTCAAATAATAATAGTATGAGACGGGTGTGGCGATACAGGTTAGCAAATTGGGATGAAATGCGCCATTTCTTTGCGTCATAATCTTAGCAGGTTTGCTTTACTTCAGGAGACTCGTCGAGCTGCGCTGGTGCTTTAGTCGAGGTTTCGCGTTTGGGTATGGAGTATTACATACCATACTCCGATGTACCCAATGGAGCCTAAGCTCGTCCATTGTTTAACGCTCCTGCAGTCATGCTGAGGCACAAAAGTAGTCCGCGTACCAAGCATAGGCATATGCTCGACTGAGCAAAGCTCCAAGTACTCGGAATCTGAAGAAAGCTTTTAATATAGCCGCCAAGAAGTGCAAAAGCGTGTTACTTAGGGCCAAGTTCGACCATGTGCATCGCATAGGGGCCAAGCTTGCCTCTTATCCAGCAGGTAGCAAATTCCTTTGGTCCCTGTCCAAAGCGGTCCTAAGTAACTTTTGTCACCCATCTTTGCCACCTCTGCTGAGGCTGGATGGTACGCTGGCCCATGCTGCAGAAGAGAAGGCGAAGCTCTTCGCCTCACTCTTTGCAAAAAGGTCAAGTCTAGATGCCGCAGGGAACCTACTACCTAACTTACCTTAGGCTGGCTGCACCATGGCGCCAGTTCACTAATGACTAATTAGTGATTTGTTATTATTATGTATGTTTTTCAGTCACTCTTAATTATTTAGCGACTTTTGTCGTTACTGAACATATCAGCCCCTTTCGAAAAACAATACCTCAAGAAAACACTTAGACGGATAAATCAAAATACTCGCTAACCAAACAGTGTACAAAATCTCCGCGGCGCTACATGTTGACTCCGACAAAACATATGATAGGCTCTGTCCGAACGCACTCCTTGAGCAAATGATGTACATCGTCAGGAATCAAACACAATTCGCAATTCACTTCTGTGTGGCGATTATGAAAGCAAAGCTTCGTAGTGCGGAGGGGACAACGTGGGCGAAATTATTAGTTAAATTCTGACGCAATATTTTATTTGATTTATTATATTTTTTTTCCAATGATTTACACTATTTTATTATTTTTTACAATTTTATGATACTATTATTATTTTAACAATGTTACAAATGACTTTATACAATTTAGATTAATTAAAAACATTTTTATTTTCACAAAAGTATAATGCTAGTTAGGTAATAAAAACCATATACATGCAAATAAATATATAACACCATAGTGAATAAAGAAAGAAGAACTATAAAAAGAAAGATAAAAAACAAAGAGACATACATAGAAAATATATTCAAGGAAGGAATAATAAATATCGGGGGGATGGAAGGAAAATATTAAAAAAAAAAGATCGCTTTACTTTCCACTCTTCTACACTCTGCCTTCCCCTTCGCTCCTCTGATACTTTCATACTAAACATGCCTCTCTCACTCTCACACCTCTAACTTTTATTCCAACTCTTTTACCATTTCTGCGATCAGAGAACTCCACATTCTCTCCCTGAATCGATTCGACGAACCCCTTCTCTTGATTCCTTCAAACAACGTGTCAAGGATTACTTCCTCAACTCCTAAGTTTCGTCTGTTCTCTGCCATTCTTTCATTTACTTCCTAAATTTAGACTTCATTTTTCTTTTTCCTTTAAAAGTATATAAGTATTTAATATTATTATGTATTTATTGTTATGTACGTATTAATAATATTATTACTTGTATGTCTATGTATATCTATCTCTGTGTATGCAAATATTTTTACTAGTACTTATTATGTAGTGTACTTATGATGATATTCTTTGGTTGCACCCATACTGCTACATAGCAATAAGGCCGCCATTCATAGGCTTCGATCCGGACACGCATTATGTATGTCAGTCTATAAGGTATGTTTTATGGGTCTTTATAACCTGAATATAAATATATAAATAAAAAATTATAATTCTAGAAAATGCTCTGTCACTAATGTGTATTCGATACACTGACTGATTACGTGCTCACCTCTTTTTTAACACTTTTTTTCCTGCCTCGGGGAGTCATCATGCCATATGCTTTATAAACGATGTATTTCCCTTCACGGTTTCTTTACATCAAGGCTTCTTTAACAGTGTGTATCGTAACTTGTTTCTCATAATGATACTCACGTCTAAATGGTATTTACTGTTTTTGCTTTTTATCAGTATTGTTTATGGCGATACTAATAAGGTAAATTGTTTATTTGACAATTAAAATATTGTTTAAAATGTATTTACAATAATTAATAATTTACAAAAACTCACTGATTGATAAAATAATGTAGGATGAACCGCTGGTGACAGTAAATGAAGGCAAACTGCAAGGTAGTGTGGAAAGACTACTTGATGGATCACCGTATTACAGTTTTAAAGGCATACCATATGCCCGACCACCTGTAGGAGAACTAAGATTTACGGTAAGAAAAATATTATTATAAAATTTCTCATAATAATATGCATGATTTGTTTCATGCGTTTGTGCCTTTATTATGCCAATGGTATTAAATCATAGTACAGCCGCATCACTCATCATGTATTTAGCATTCTTTTCAATTTCAGGCGCCACAGCCACCACAAGCGTGGCAAGGTACTTACGATGCGACTAAACATGGGTCTGTATGCCCGCAGTTTGATTTAATTTCTGGCCAAGTTATAGAAGGTGATGAGAATTGTCTATTTTTAAATGTATATACAAAAACACTTAATTCTCACTCTAAAACACCTGTGATGGTATTTATACATGGTGGAGCTTACATGACTGGGTCGGGTAATGTCGATAATTATCTTGGGCCTGAATTTCTCTTACAACACGACGTTACATTTGTAACAATGAATTATAGACTTGAAGTATTAGGATTCTTAAGTTTAGAAACTCCTGAAGTACCTGGAAATGCAGGAATGAAGGATCAAGTAGCTGCTTTGCAATGGGTGAAGAATAACATAAGAAAGTTCGGGGGCGATCCTGATAACGTTACATTGTTTGGAGAAAGTGCAGGGGCGTCATCTGTAACATATCATATGTCATCACCAATGTCAAAAGGTCTTTTCCAAAAAGCGGTTGCTCAGAGCGGAGTTTCTGTAGCTGACTGGGCTATAGGAAAATCTCCCAAGGATAGAGCTTTCAGAGCGGGAAAAGTATTGGGTAAAGAAACGAACGACACAACAGAACTTTTAACGTTTTTGCGAAGTGTTCCAGCTACTGATCTTGTCCAAATAACATTTAAAACTTTGACAGAGGATGAAAAACATAGGGGTTTGAAAGAGCATTTTGTACCTGTAATAGAGAAACAGTTTAAAAATGTAGAACCTTTCTTAACAAACAAGCCAATCGACTTAGTTTTGGAAAATAAGATGAATGAAGTGCCATTGATGATTGGTTATAATTCAGCAGAAGGTTTAATTAACTTAGGAGAACAGCTAAACGCATCGGATTTCAATAGCAAGAATCCTCAATACCTTGTTCCTAGAGAAATATCAGAAAAAGTAACTGAGCAAAAGGTCAAAGACCTAGGTGAAAGAATAAAAGAGTTCTACGTCGGTAATTCAGATTTTAGTAACGAGACTGCTGTAGCTCTGGTGAACATAGTATCTGATTTACATTTTGTATATAGTATCCACAGATTTGCTCATTTCTATTCTATAAAACACAAACCTATATATATGTATAGATTTAATTTCGACACGGGCTTGAATTTCTTCAAGCAATATTTTGGGTTTCCGCACATGGAAGGCGCATGCCATGGAGACGATTTGTTCTATTTGTTTTTCAGTAAATTGAGCGAAAATTCTTATAAGAGTCAAGAAAAATTAAGAGATATCGTTTACGAAGTGACGAAAATATGGACCGATTTTGCTAAAACCAGGTGACTACAACTTGTGTTATTCGCACTGTCTGTAATTCTTTGAAGAAATAGTGTAAGATTTCGATTTAATGTTTTTTAATAAACAAAATTTTTAGTAAAATCGAATAATACTATGGTAAAGATTAGTTATAGAATCATAACAATAAGTTGTCATAATTTATTTTACATGCATACATATATACTTACATTGATTCCCATATACGATTCTGGCAATCAATCCTCTTTACTTACATTCATCAATCTTTTCGTGCAAGTCTATTTATTCTTCTAATTACGCATTCCAGCGGTTTCAAGAACATCCTTGATTTCTTAAATTGTTTTCTTTTCCAGTAATCCGACACCAGGTAACTCTAGCGTCAAATGGCCCAAATATGAGACTGATAGTAAAGATTTCCTGAATTTAGATGAAACGAGTGCTGTTGGAAAATTTGCGGAAAAGGACAGAGTAGAGTTTTGGGATCAAATTTATTGTGAAGTCGGTTTACCATGCATTAGTCAGAGCAATCAGCAGTAGTTAAAAAAGTGTTTGGTTTTTTCGGGAGCCTGTTTTAAAATGTTTCAAAACATTTTGCATGTAATCTAGATTGGTATAGTTTGTATTCTACATAAATAAATAATTGTTACATTTACCTATCACTTATTTGTTATCCTTTTTCTACTATTTAAAATATGGTAAGGACAAGAGCAGTTGTTTTCCTAAAGAACTTCTTGATGTCTCAGTGAACCTGGGTTTTCCTGATTTCTAGGTAGTGTACCTATTTTGGCATTATTATACTTGCTTTTCCTTATTGCTTTTTAGCAAACTATAAGTACGTCAATGCTACAGCTTAGCTTCTCATCCTTACCGTTATCGCTACTGGTTTAAGCCTCCGATAATGTCCAAGGAATAAGCATATAATCATGAAGAAATAGCCAAATATTCGAAAATTGTTATGAAATCATTACATAGGAATTGATAATGACCCTAAAAACATTATTACGCAATTTTGAAATAAAAAAACGTGTAGTAGTTTTCAACTCATTAGTGGAGTAATAAGTTTGTTTGGTGTTTTTTTACAATAGTCTGACACCAGACAACTCTAACATCACTTGGCCTCGATACAGCATGTTTACCAAATACTTCTTCAACATTCATGCAAATTTTGCCTCCGGACAATTTGCAGAAAAAACAGAGTGGAGTTTTGATTTAGCAAATATGGGCTGCCTTGCATTAATAGTTTGATGCATAGTACATAATTCACCAGCGCTGGCCCTAGCTCATGTAACGCCCGTGCAGACCGGGTGCAATCAATATCCTGGCAACATCTAGTAGGAACGAGATTGCAATGGAATACTTTTTGTTATAATAATAACGCACACACTCAACATAGCCCCGCACTAAGGAAACCCTGTGTCGCGGGTGCCGTAGACACACACATAGATAACCACAAATTACACCCAAACTCACGAGAGAAATAAATCTAGGTCATGCAAATATTTCTCCCGGCCCAAGAATTGAATCTGGGGCCTCTGCGTGGCAGTTCGGCATGGTAACTGTTCGGCCACGAAGGCAGTTACTTACAGATATATTTTCCCAATAGTGATGATAAAACATGATGCAATGTAAATGATGTTGGGAAGCAATAGCCAGTTTACTTCGCCGTTTACTTGCACCTCGAGGGACACAGGTTCTTTGTATGCTCCTAACACCTTGCGCCATAGGTAAAGCCAGCATTGTCATTTACTCTGGTGTAGTCCGCGTGGAAGAATACATTGTTTGATGCCACACATATTATTTTTTTGTGTATTAAGTAATTTTCATAGCGGTACATTTAGCGGAACAAAAAAAAATTGTGAGAATGTAAACCAGTAACGTGTATGTATATAATCAATTAAATCAATCAAATAATATATTTTAACGTTAACTTAACACAGTCTTACTTAATATAGTCCATGTATATCGAAAAAATTAACTTAAGCGAAATGCATTTTTAAAAATTTTGATTGAATCGTTTAACTTTATTTTAAACTTTATTAATAAGGATTTTACGAACGAATGCGAAAAACGGAGGCAACCTGCCTGCGCAGAGTGCGAGAGAGCGCAAACAGAGTTCTTAAAATGATAAGGGGCAGGTGGGACTTCGATCTGCTCGCTAAGTTCACCGAACTTCACTTTCCTGGGAGCTCGGTAATTATGTAGTATTTTCATTCATTCATACATTTCATTCATTTTATTTTCTTTATTTTTATTCTATAACTTTTGTACTAACAGTGGAATAAAGAGCTTGTAAGTGTACTAACAACATGGACTTTTTTCGGACACAGTTAGGAATTTGGGAGTAATTTTTGATAAATGTCTGACTTGGAAGCCGTGCGTTGCTAAGGTTAGCAGGAGGGTGTTTGGTGTGCATTTTTCCCTGAGAAGGCTTAAAAACTTTTTGTCCACTAAAACTAAAATTACTTTGGCCCAGAGCATTCTCCATCCGATACTGGACTACGCAGATGATTGCTACCCGGATTTGTCAGTCACCGTGCTCAAAAAACTGGAACGGCTCCAAAATATGTGTGTGAGGTTCATCTTCGGGCTTCGGAAATTTGACCATGCCTCCCAATTTCGTGCACAACTTAAATGGCTACCCATCCACCAGCGTAAAGATCTTCATATTCTTTCCCTTCTTTACTCATTCTATTCTGTCCCTTTACGCCTTCTTATCTCAAAGATCGCTTTACTTTCCACTATTCTACACTCTGCCATCCCCTTCGCTCCTCTGATACTGTCTTACTAAACATACCTCTAATTTTGATTCCAACTCTTTTACTTCTCTTGATTCCTTCAAACGACGTGTCACGGATCACTTCCTTAACTCCTAAGCTTTGTCTTTTTCTCCACAATCATTTCATTTATTTCTTATAGTTATATTTCATTTTTCTTTTTCCTTTTAAAGTATATAAGCATTTATTATTCTTATTTATGTATTGTTATGTATTAATAATATTTGTATGGATATTTCTATCTACGTACATGAGTATATTAATAATTATTATGTAGTGTACTTATAATGATATTCTGTGGTTGCACCCCTTTTGCATATCCCAAATTTTTTATCTTAAGGTTGCCTGGAAGAAATAGCTACATAGCAATAACGCCTGTTGCACATTATCTTACTATCTTTATACCTAAGTTACTTTTTTGTATTTTAACTGTAAATTTATGTGCAATAAACAATATTTCATTCATTCATTCATTCAATTTAATAATGCCCGCATTAAATTTGGAAAGTAATAAAAACTGCATGATTAATTACTTTCATCAGTCAGTTGGACTACCCTAGCTTGGTCAAAGTAATAAAACAAATGATCAGTAGTGTTATGATTAGGTTAAGTTGGGTCCGACTAGAAGGAGGATGGTCCCCATAAAGAAGGAAGGTCGACCAGCTGACTCTCCCTGTGCGTACCGACCCATATGCCTGCTGAACGAGGCGGATCTGTTGCGAGTATGGCCCGAACTGTTGGATGGTCAGTTCAGCTTCCGAGAGGCGCGGTTGACAATATTAGATATCTCGAGTTCTTAGGTTTTCGCGATTGTTACACATAGGAAATGAAACTATTTTTCCGGATTTAAATCGCGTATATTTGTTTTTTCAAACAAACCGACGTTTCGGGCCCTTTACAGGTCCCATGGTCACGGTTGACTGAGGTGGTACAGTCTTCAACCAGTTATGTCTAATATTAATGCAAACCACCCTATTTTTTCACTATAGTTACAATAGTTATTAATTAAATACCTTATTTTTAATTTTACAAAGAAAACATTCCAATTTACGCTACATTAAGTTTTACAAATTATTTTATTGAATGAATTTTTATTAGGTTTAATTTATTATTAATTATTAATAGAAATTAGAATAAACTAAAACATATTAATTAGTACTGCAGTCTTATGTCTGTTTGGGATTTTTCATTAGAGGAAATACTGGATCCCAAACTGGTGGTACGGAGAAACCATCTTCCCTGTTGAAATTAGGGCCCTAAAGGGCTGTAAAGGGCCCGAAACGTCGGTTTGTTTGAAAAAACAAATATACGCGATTTAAATCCGGAAAAATAGTTTCATTTCCTATAATATTAGATATCGTCAACGCATTCAATTCCTTGCCCTGGTTAAGGAGGCGCTCGAGTATCACCAAGTGCCTCCTTACCTGAAGCGAGTTGTCGGGTCCTGCCTAAGCGACAGGTACGTTACGTACCCGGGTCGGGATCGATCAAGCCATCGGAGAGAGGTCGTGTGCGGGGTTCTGCAGGGGTCTGTTTTAGGGATGCTCCTTTGGAGCCCGTGTTCCGGTGCGCAAGATCGATCCCGGATCTCTCCAACTACAGAACCCGAGAAGGCCATCGTGGGGTTTTAGCCGGTAGAAGTGTGGCATAACCTCTCCTTTGCCCCCGCGGCGGAGAGGTATCCTGGAAGGAGGAAGGATGTATAAAATACTTTTTCTTATTTGCGCTTGAGTGTATTGATCAAGATTTAAATATACAAAAGTTTTACTTGCTATAACATTTAAACTGAGAGATTAATTGATGTATCAGTCTATTGAAAATGAATATTAGTTTGTCTCATATGACTTCCATTATCCGATTGCGTTAAAACATTTCGTGTGTACTCAAAAAGACTTAATTGTTCTATTTAATGCAACTGTGTGATACGTATGAAAATCGACGATAATGTTATTAAATCTTGAGGAAGGAACATCTCTGGGAATAATTGAATAAAACTTTAAGAAAGCTTTGGTACATCAACAGTAGCAGTAGAGCGCCTTGTGAATGAGTCCGTCCCGGGAAATACTGCCTACCTATTTCTGCTGCCAAGCAGTGATGTGAGAATTATTACGTTCTGGTTGTGAAATGTAAGGGTGCTGGTGAAATTACATGCATATTCAACTTATGTCCCAGGGTGACGGGCGTAGTGGCAGTGCCCCTCAGATCTCTGCTATTTAAAGCTCTGAGTGGCGCTACAACTGTTATGGATTGGGGCGTGTCACTTACGCGCGCATTAAAAAAACATTAATAATCGAATGACAAGTAACTGCCGTTACTTTGCCCATTATAGCATTTAAAATCGCAGACATTGTATCGGCAATTAAAGTTTTGAATTGTTGTTTCCCCAAGAACTTGCTTTTGAGGAATATTTTGTTTTAATTTTCAGAAATATCCGTTGGTGACTGTAATGCAAGGCCAGCTGAGAGGAACTGTAAAGACCCTCCTCAATGGAAAACCGTATTATAGTTTTAAGGGCATCCCATATGCCCAACCTCCCATCGGCGAGCTTAGATTTAAGGTGAGATAGTCAAAATACAGGTGTGTCTGAACTAGTGTCTATTGACTTTCAAACTTCCATTTAAAGATGGCACCTCCATGATAAAGTGATTATGAATTACATAATTTGGTGAGGAAATGGGTTATTTTAATAAGTCCTTAAAAGCCACCGGTGTTCATGCCGAGCCACTGGTTGTACGTGGACTCCAGCCGAAGCCCATTATTCGCTAGATGCGTTGCACATGCTGTTTGTTGAGTGTAAAATGAAATCGGTCTTGATTGTGTTTGCATTAATTATTCAGAAGCAATTATGGCGTCATCACATCCACTTTTAATAAGTCGCAATTTGCTTTTTTAAAAGTATAAATTATATTCAGATAAGTTCTTCAACTATAGAATGATAATGAACTCCTTTACGCTTTTTTCATTAAAATTTGGAATACATGCATATAAGGGAGAGGCGAAGCAACCTTCCGTGGTCGAGTGTGCGTGGGCGTCGGGTGACTAAACGCGGTCACAAGTAGCGAGTGGTGACCATTCCTGCAGCTTGTGTCTCAAACACGTCCACGTAAATGCTCAGTTTGCGCCGATAGCATACCTATAAAATGTATGAAACATCACGTTCACAACTTATGGCGGCCACTAATAAAAACACCGTATGTGGCATCTCAGTGTCATGGAAAATAATTACCATGCGTATGCCATTACATCAAGTCCATTGAGGAGCAGATACAAGCAAAAGTGCCATTAAATTTTCATTGTTATTATATTTCAAATGGACTGTGCATGTACCATCCATACGAACATTATTTAAGCGAGTTTTGAACGCAAATCTGCATTCCGTATATTTAAATAGGTATTTTTTTCTTTTTCAGGCACCACAACCGCCAACCCCTTGGCTAGGCATACGTGAAGCTATAGATCATGGCCCGGTTTGCCCACAGCATGAAATGATGACCGTGCAATACGTTGAAGGCGATGAAAATTGTCTTTTTTTAAACGTATATTCAACAACTCTAAATCTAGACTCCAAAATACCAGTAATGGTCTACATACATGGTGGAGCATTCATGTCCGGCTCTGGCGACGTAGAATCTGGATATGGTCCAGAATTTCTTCTTCAACACGATGTGGTGCTAGTTACTCTGAACTACAGACTTGAAATTTTAGGATTTCTGTGCTTAGACACTCCTGACGTTCCTGGTAATGCAGGAATGAAAGATCAAGTTGCTGCCTTAAGATGGGTGCGTGACAACATACAACAGTTTGGTGGTGATTCTAACAACGTAACTTTATTTGGAGAAAGTGCGGGTGGCGCTTCTGTTGTTTACCATATGCAGTCTTTGATGTCCAGAGGACTATTCCATAAAGGTATTTGTCAAAGTGGAGCTCCATTAACAGATTGGACACAAGGTAAAGAGGGGTTAAGTCGTGCATTTAGGGTAGCGAAATATCTGGGTAAAGATACCAACGATAAAGAAGAACTATATGACTTTTTAAAAAATATCCCGGTTAAAAAGTTTTCAAAAATTACTGTGAAAACAATGACTGCAGACGAGAAGATTAGAGGGCTACCAATACATTTTGCTCCTGTAGTCGAGAAAAGATTTGACAATGTAGAACCATTTTTAACTGAAGAACTTATCGAGACACTGTTGCAGAGCAACATTATGAAAATACCCATGATACTGGGATATAACAATCTTGAAGGTTTACTGATACTACCGTACCAATTGAAAAGAGTAGAATTTTTAAATAAAAATCCACATAGTTTCGTACCGAGAGAAATTGTTAGCGTGATTACTGAAGAGAAAACGATCGAATTCGGACAGAGGCTCAAGAAATTCTATTTTGGTGAAAATGAAATTAGTACACACACAATTGCTTCACTTTTAGATTTATTGTCTGATTTACATTTTGTGTTCAACACTCACAGATTTGCCCATTTCTATTCTTCAATGCATGAACAATTATACATGTTCAGGTTGTGTCTTGATACCGATTTGAACATGGTGAAAATTCTGAGTGGATTCTCGCACTTGAAAGGAGCATGCCATGCAGATGATCTGTTTTATATATTCCATAACGCTTTAAATAAAGATGCATATCAAGAACAAAAGATGTTACAAGATATTGTTTTCAGATTAACAAAATTGTGGACAGATTTTGCTAAAACTGGGTAAGTATAAATAGACTGCATAAGTTGGTTTTTTTTTTATAAAAATATAAGTGCTCATTTGACCTTCATCTCACCTGATGGAAAGTGAAAGAAATCCGAAATCCAATTGCAAAGGTCAGTGGGAAACCCATAAGAGGGAAGCTTGCTTAAAAGGCTTGCGTGGCAGACCCTGTCAAAGGCCTTAGAAATGTCTAAAGATACTGCAATGGCTTCGCCTTGCCCTTCTATAGCCTCGCTCTATAAGTGCGAGGCGTACACAAGAAGATCCCCAGTAGATCGCCCTCTTCGGAATCCGTACTGGCGATCACTGAGGAGATCGTTGTCTTCAAGGTACGACAGGAGACAGTTGTTAAGTACACGTTCCATAGTCTTGCAGAGTATGGAAGTGACTGAGATAGGTCTATATCTTTAGGCACTGGTTGCACATTTGCAAGCTTCCACGACCTAGGAACTACACCAGTCTCAAGTGAGAGACATTATAACCTTATTATGGTTATTATAAGAAAAAATATAGGTGATGTCAAAAGTTTGAAGGCGGTATTATCTTTTGCAATTTGTTATGCTGCCTGCTATCAATCAGAGTTTATACATTAGTTTCGTTCTAGAATTCTCCCGGGACAACATTACTAGGGACCGTTTTGCTAAACCTCCTTTTTTAGAAAAGCTTACGTTTTATAATAGTCCAGGATTTCGAAAACAGCGACCCTTTGAAAGTAATTAGTTTTAAATACAGTTTCCTGTATAGGGCTTAGGATCTCTTTACGTACTTGGCGTTTTTTGTTTAATTGTTTTAAGTCGCTTTTGTCCGAATGTTTTTACATTTTTATAGACAGTAATAGACTTATCCGAAGCGAGTCTCTTCAACCTGATGGATCAATAGCTCAAGCGTTGAACGCATCCTTATAGCGGTCGACCACCATGCTTCCGTTTACCTTTTGCCAACTCTGAATAGAAAACAACTTGGAGTAAACGGTGGTCCTCCATGCAAAGGAAGGAAGAGTGGCAGCAGCAGAAATGAATGTACTAAGTAGCTTAAATAGCTTATCACTGCCGCGGTATTTACCAAGATACTCCATACTTATTTTCAGGAATCCAACACCCACAGGCTCAGAAGTAATATGGCCTCAGTATACTTCATCTAAACAAATGCTTTTGGATTTCGGAGAGACGTTCACCCCGAGACCGTATGCGGAGAAGGATAGAGTTGAGTTTTGGAACAAATTATATTGTGAAGCCGGACTACCCCATATTGTTAAGAGTAGTTTGTAAATAGCATGTTCGCTGCTTTTTTATATGAACCAGGGTAGATACTCGTAGGTAGTTTTTCATGGTAATAGTGTTACGTGATATATTTTCCGTTTATTCAGAAAGTACGATCACATGTGAAGTGTAGCATGTGATCGTTAATGAAATGAAAATACTGATTAATGAAAAAATATTTATTTACCTAAGTATATACAAATAGAATACAAAATAATAGGCGTGTATGTATAAATATAACAATGAAATGTTGTGACTTAGAGTATTTTTTATTTTAATATTTAATCTATCACAAATTAATCAGAATATTAACATGACACTTTCTTTTGTACGTAACAACAAATTGGTAATTAAAAATAATAATTTAGACAGCAAAATCCAACAGTTTTTAAATAAATATATATTTTTTTAACTGTTTGTTAATACTACAATAATTAAAATTAAAAATATACTCGTATTTACAAAGTTTGGTGAAGGATTTTACTATAAATTTAATATTAATTACGCAAAAATGCAACATTCAATTTCATTAGGCAAGGTGTAATTTAAATGGATATTTCCATACAATAAACGATCAACGAAACATTAGTATATAATTCATAATATATACAATATTTTATTGGCAAGTAAAAGGGAAAATATTTTTGAAAATAAAATATATTTTTTCTATTTTATATTTTATAGAGGCACTGTTGGCTTCAAACTTTTTTGTTCATGGCATACATGCACGTACTCAGCCGACCTATAGTTGGATTTTTAATTGGAGATAAAACTAACATTTCGTCGTAATCAATGAGCTCACTGAAGCTGAATTGTTCAAAAAGAAACGTAGACATTTGACTATTAACCTAATAAACAAAAAACAACACTGAATTTAGTCACTACATTTATATCCATATTTTTTAAAAACCATTCCAATTTGTGCTACATACGATTTGCAAGTATTTTATTTTAATAATATGATTGTTTCTGTTGTTCCTTTTTTCCTTTTAATTAATAAATTCAATACAGATAAGAAAATATTAATAATTAAAATAATATATTTCTCAATTCGTATGCAGCATAAATTGTAATGTTCTTTGGTATATAATAAATAAGGTATTTCAATTAATAACTTTCGTAACTGTAGCTCTGAATAGGATAGTTTGCTTTAATATTAGACGTAACTTGTTGATGACTTTACCATCTCAGTCCACTACGCCTATGGGACGTGTAAAGAACCTGAAACGTTGGTTTGTTTGAAAAAATAAATGTACGCGATTTAGATCTGAAAAAATACGAAAACTTAAAAACTCGGTAACCTTCTAAACATCAGTTCATTATCTCTAATTAAAAATCCGTTGTTCATATAGAAAGTTATCATAATATTATAACTATAGCTGACATAGATACTCGAGCGTAATGCGTACGTGTGTCGTTATAGGTGATCAAGTCACTTGATGATTACTTTGATCCTACTCACAACTTAAACTAAAAAATTATACTTTTAGCGCAGATAATATAATCATTAAAGTAATGTCGCATTTATAACTCCGCTTATTTGGTTGCTTATTTAGATTCTTAACGCTGATCGATAGATGGTGCCAAGTAAACGCGTAATACGTCTATAATGATATCCGAAAAGGCCAACAGATGGCAGCTATTACATTTTAGTCAAGGAAATTGCCTTGTTCAGTCGTTGATTTCATATACAATAAAATATAATTAAATCGCAAGTAAGCTGAATCTGTACTTTTAATATTTTAAAGTAAAAATCAACCCTAAAACGTTACTTTGTTCCGAGAATAAATTCAAAGAAATGCCATCTGCACGAATTATTACGAACTTATGTTTACCATTGGAAAACTTTCCACTTGTTATATGCTCAAAGTTCAGCGACAGTACAATGTGAATGAATTTTTTGAACATTCCGAAAATGATTTTGAAATAGTTTTGCATTTCTTTTTTTATATTTTATATTTCCTATTTAGTATGATAATAATACCACCTGCAGTTTTTGAGATGCAGTAGTTAATATTATTTTATTTTATGCAAGTGGCGACATCTACAGTTTTAAGTATGCATAAAGTTTTTTTTACGTGCATCTATACCCATGCTTTTAGTAAGTTTCCCGTAGACTGATGGATTTATATTGAAAATAATGAGCGTCTCGCATTTCTCCGCTAATAAATCTTTGTTCTTAAATCACGTGGTATACAAAGGTTCGGCGTATAATCTAGTAGGGACGGATATGTTGCTTGGCGACGTTGGGGGAGGTTCTCGCGCCAGGAGTAAAGCGGATCGAGCTCGTCGTTTAGCTAAAACACAAGATTATTAATGGGGTAATTCTATTGGGCATATATTTTAATGGAAGAAAATAATAAACATTTAAGGTAATAATTTCCTAAGTACATAGAAGTTAATAACCACTAGGGTCCACCGTGGATTAGAAACTTCACACATATAATTAAATTGTGTGTTACGATGCTTTCCTTTACCAAAAAGCGTTCGCACATAAATTCCGAAATACTCAGAGGTGCGAACGAAAGGTGGTAGGTAAAACCATAAGCCTAGATTCATATTGCAGACGCTACTCAACAAAATAAAGCAACGGATGTAAGCGAAGCTGCATCAAGCGACGGCGGGCGTACTTTATAAAATGCAATATACTCTTTATTGAATATATGTTCGATAGTATATTGCATTTTAAAAAGTGTGCCCGCCGCGCCCGCTGCTGCTAGCTGCAGCTTCGTTTTAATTTTTTTTGTTGAATGAAATGTTCCCCTAAGTTATAGGGGATAAAGTTAATGTTGCACTGTTCGCTTTAATGCAGCACCGCGCTGAGTCACGTTGCGTTGCGTACCGGCGATATGAATGAAGCCTTAGGCTGCCACAGAGGTCAATGTATAAGTTTTTTTAGTTAATAGTTTAACTGCATTACTTCACAGATACGGAGCTGAAGCGATTTGCAATCGCAGTTCAATGCATCGATCAAATATTTTCAACGAAGTAGTTAAGACGTACTTACCGTTAGAATGCATGCAGCACAATACTAGAGCAGAAATGAGAGCAGCCAAGGGCAAGACACCAGCAAGAGCAAGCAACGCTTGCTGCGCTGGTGAATGTTTCTGTCTCGTTGTACCACAACTGGTGATGTTGTGGACATTGAAGTCCTCAAGAATCTGCTGGAACTCGATGCCGAGGGAACGAATGCTAGCTTTCATAGCTTTAGGGGTTAATGCTTCACCGTTCTCCATTTTACGAAATTGGAAGCAGGGTCTGTAAATTATTATAAAATTTTAAATAGCAAATGTTTTATCGACATTTGGGGTATTAGACACTGATATCCTTAGTTAAAAAGTAAATATATAGTTAAAAGGTAGTATTTTTTTCATAAGTTTGGTTTATTATTCGAAAACACAGCTTTCTTTTCGTAAAACTGAACAATTTGAACATGCTCTTGATTGTATGCTAAATACGATTAATTTTGTCGGTATATCCATAGGGATACATAGGTAGCAGTAGAGCTCCCTGTAAACGAGTTCGTCTAGGTGACAGTATTTCCCGACCTTATCCACCAAGCGGTAGTGGGCACTACTGCGTATCGATTTTGGGGCGTAAAGGTGTTGGTGAAATTACAGGCACACGCGACTTATTAAACTTAAATATCAGGTTGACAGCCGCAGTGGCAGCGCACTTCAGAACTTTGCGATTTAAAGCTCTGAGTGGCATTGCTACTGTTATGGACAGGCGTGTCACTTACCATCAGGCGCACGACTTGTTCGTCCTGTCACTTGGTATCATAAAATATGTATTTTCCAATAACTCATTTTAATTATTCCATTTAACCCCAGTTCACTGTAATTTTATTTTTCTTAAAAACTGATCATCCTTCAGCTTCATGTTAGGATTTAGAAAGCTAAGATGGTATTCATCATGTTTTGTTATCAATTTCATGGGGTTTATAAATTTTAAATAATATTGTAGTATTTAATATTAAAGCACTGATCTGAAGTCATACTAACCCAGGGTTGGTCAAATACGCTGAGTTAACAGAATCATGCAATTGCATCCGCAAACCGCGCGACGAAAGCGCAGTCTGCATCCGATTACGTAGATCGTTCACTCTTGACCGTGTGCTTCCTGGTAATACCAGACGAAGAAGATCTCGTTCTCTTACGACTACTACCTGAAATACAACAGACGTAGAAAGAATTAATGTTGGTTTATTGACGGCATAAAATTTAAAGAGCGAATGTGGGTGGAGGTATGGGAAGAAGTTAGACCTCAACGTACATATTTCTATCAGATTGGGGAAGTCCTTAAAAGCTTATGTGAAGAGACTGGCAGGTGACAGGCATGATGGTATGTGAATTTATATATGTATAATGAGAATAGAGAAATGCCTCTCACTTGAAATTATCGTTAATGATGGAATTTGTTCGTCGTTGATTATGTTATGTCTGAGGTAAAAGTAACCCAGTTATTGCTTTCGGAAAAACAAACGTAATATAAAAATCTATTTACCTCAATTAAAACATCGCTGTACCGTTCTAGGTCTTCAGAGTTATTAGCTCGAGCTGTTAATCTGAAATCAAATATAATGTTTTATTTATTTATTCACCTATTATATCACCTTGAATTAATATGTATTCTATTTCATTTCTGTTTAGAACTAAAGTGTTTTACCTAAATATGCCATCAGCATAGTGTATCAGATTCTTCATTACTTTAAGTTCACCAGTTACATTATTCAAAACTATCACATCAGTGATATTACTTAAAGATTTAGATTTGATTGGAGATTCGAAACTCATGTTAACAATCTTGTAATTAATTGTTATAGCGTCAGGATCTTTATCTATTGCTTTCACGGTAGCTATGCTGGTGTCTATAGGCACATTTAGACGAACTCCAATAGTCATGTTGGCGTTTTCAAACTCTGGTAAGTGATCATCGATATCAATGAGTTTGATTAATACTTGGGTTTCTGATGGATCCTGTAAATTAGATAGACATTTGTTACTCTATGTTGACTATATTTATAAATAGTACAATCCTCATACTTTTTCATATATTGTTCAAACATTCAATTCGAGGCTACAATGGCATTGTGATCATTGCTGTTTGTTAAAGCTATATTATAAAAACTTACCAATCGATTATACATTTTGTTCAGTTTAGGTGTTGTACCATATTTGAAACACTTAACAGTGAGAAGAATTTTATTTACAGCTTCTCTGTCCAATCTAGCTGCAGCTACTAAAATTGCTTTACTGTCATTTGTGCGTTCTAGCTTTATGAGACCTAATTCATTGCCAGCTGAAAAACAAGATTTTATTTATTTTATTGTTGTTGGATTTTATTGTTCTTGTACTAATAACTTCGTCTTTTATTTGAATTCACCAATCGAATTGGTGATTGGTGATGAAAAGCTGCATTCACAAACCCGAATTAGGCCAGTTGCTGTGGATGGAGGGCACCTTTGTTAATTTTAGAAATAGAAATAGAAACCATTTATTGTAACTCCACATTATAAAAAAAAAAACAACAAGTTACATAATACTATACTGACATGTGTGCGGCTGTGGCGTGTATAAAAGGATCCCATTCAGCTAAAGTCACAACCAAGGCTAGGTTATGACACTGGTTTTCAATGGGCCCTAGCCGAGTGAGTGAGAGTGACGGAGCTACATAAATACTTATATCATGAGTGTGTACAGTGCTATTGCAGTGTGTACTCTTATATCGAATAAATACTTACATAATCTTTGCAATATATACATACAGGTATAAGTGTGTGTGTAGCGTGAAAACAAATTAATAAAATATTTAATACACATTTAAAGCACATTACTCCAAATATATTAAACAAGATTATTAAATATTCGTAAAATAATAATAGTTCTTTGACTTCAACATTAAACAACTATTGTTATTACGCAGCTACTATTTCGAATAATGCTATGTGAATTAACATTTTGACAATACATTAACACTTACAATAACATTTTAGTGCTACAACAACAAATTAATTTTAACAAACCAACAGGTTTATACTTTCATGCAGTTATGTATGAGGTCAATTCTAATACTCTACTCGATTTGTTAACTTATTATTGTAGTCTCTTTCAATAACAGTTGGGCTCTTATGATGTTATAATTATAGTAGGTTGTACCTGTAATGGCGTAGTCGACTGCAGCGTTTTCTCCAATATCTTCATCGATAGCTTCTAACGTACCAATTACTGTTCCGACTGGTATCTCTTCTTTGGTTGTCATAAGAATAGGTGGGTCATCCTGGAAAAAAATGAGAATAGACCAAAGAAGTAAAGTCTTACCACGGTTGTTATGGTAAATTCATGAAGTACTAACGGAATTCCTAGCGAAGTGGGGCTTATGATCATCGACATCTATGATCATGACGTTGACAATCCTTCTGCTCTGTTGCGGTGGTTGTCCCCTGTCTGACACAAGTAACACCAGGGTATACGACGCCTTCCGTTCACGATCCAATGACTGACGAGTCGTAATTAGGCCTGAGTGAGGATCTAGAAAAAAAAAACCGTTACGATTACAAAAATGTACATTTATATTATTATATTTTATTGGAAGTCACAGTACAGGCAATTAGTGATTTATTATAGATTTTTAGTAAAATTTAGATTAAGTTTATTTTTAATAAGTATATATAAGTTTTAAATTGCGGTAATATAACTACATAATGCTTCTTAGCGATTAATTATAGTTTCCTTTTAATTCTGTAATTATAAACATTTTTGTCATACCTATTGTAAAAGTCTTGGCGTCCGGATTATTCTGTTCTATCAAGTAATAAAGTTGTCCAGAGGGCTGTGTTGGATCATCCGGGTCTGTGGCTACAACTTGAAAGACTGAGGAGCCAATTGTTGCATTCTGGAAACAATTTTGCTTGTTTACCGATTATCGATTATTTAATCAATTCTATCTGTTAACATCGAATCATTAATGTATAATCTTTTGTAATTCCTCCAAAATATAGTGATAAGTGCACACCTCGCTAACGCTCAGCACTTCCCCATCAGCAGGCCTGATAAATCTCGGTACACCATCATTGGCGCTGACGTCACCAATGTATAAAGTCAGTGACGCATCACCACTATGACCCCCACCATCTGTAGCTCCCACAAGGAGTCTGTAAGGGTCGGTACGACCACGGCCAGTGAGATCACGACGGGTTTTCACTTCGCCTGTTACGGGGTCTATTGCGAAAAGACCTGAAATGTACAGTGTATGCTTTTTTATTAGAGAGCTTAGTTATAGCACTTAGTTTATTTCAACGGCAATATTTTGCAGACGAAGGATGACAATATACTAACCGTTAGCTTCTCCCTCATCCAGAAAGTCATATTTAATTTCTCCTCCTATGCCTTCATCAGGATCTGTAGCTGTTATATTGATGACACTTATTCCTATTGGTACATTTTCTGGCACGACAGCTGAAAATATTTCGGTGAAATTTATTACGAATTGTACTCTAACTTTGTTGTAATAAAGTATTTTTTGCTGACTTACCAATATATGCAGGTTTTTCGAAACTAGGTGTATTGTCATCAACATCTAATACATCTACCAGAATTGCAGCAGATGTTTTTAGGCGATTTGCTTCGCTTTTTGGAGTATCAATTGCTTCAACTTCCATTCTTAGAACAGACTGCCTTTCCCGATCCAATGTTTTATTTGGAGCTACCTGCAATGCAGAATAGATTAAAATGCTTTTGAAATTCTTGCTTATTTGTAGCTTACAGATAATTAATTCTTATATTAGAAATGTACCTGTATAACTCCAGTTACATTGTCAATTATAAACAGATCTGAATTATCTCCTCTCAAATTATATCGTATATCTGAAAAACCATTAATTTTATCTTCGTCGGTTTTAATGGCATCTGCATCATTTGCTTTTATCGTGAGAATTTGTTCGGGGTATTTCGTTGATTCTAGAACGCTGACTTTGTATAACTAAAATGAATAAAAAAATTACAATGAAATATAAATACATTCAATCTCTAACCCAGTTTGAAAAAGACGTACCTCTTTTTCAAAAGTAGGTGGATTGTCATTGATATTAGTAACTCCAATGATGATTTTAGCCATGCTATGTTTACTTCCATCATTGCTAGTTGCTTTCACAGTCAAAGTTAAATTCGGAGATGATAAATCTTCATAATCTAAATGGTTTGTTAATACAACTTGACCACTAAGAGGATCCACTTGTAGCAATCCAGTGTGAGAGTTAATTACTTTATAATTAGATATGACATGTCCTGATATTGGGTCTTCAGCAGTCAACACTAATACAGTACTTCCAATGGGTTGCTCTTCTTTAATTTTATGATAAATCACAGGGTTTGAACTGGTCCATCCAGGGTTAGTAAATTGAGGATTCTTGTCTGCATAAGGTTGTATGTAAATTGTATGTTCAGCAACATCAAACTGATTTTCCTTATTCAACTCTGCGTTTTCATCGATCACTTTAATAGTTAGAATGACTATAGATGCTTGACCGTAATCTAAAGTACCATTTACGAAAATTTCACCCGTGTCTTCGTTGATTTTAAACAAAGTTTTATAATCGTATGGCGAGTTAGGTTTAAGTTGTACACCAGATTTAGAAAATGCTTTAACGGGTTCAATTAAGCTGTATTTTAATTTTGCATTGATATCTGAATCAAATGCAGAAATTTTCGTAACTAAATCATTTATATTCGTTTTTTCTGATAAGTAGGTCGTAGATTCGGTAGTATTAAACTTAGGTGGCTTATCGTTTACGTCTTGAATGGTAACAAATACAGTTGTAGTGGCTGTTTCAGGAATAGGGGTACCACTATCAACTGCTGATACGATGATTTCGTATTTGTCTGTATTTACTTCACGATCTAAGTTTGCATCATTAGATACTGTAATCAATCCAGTTCTGAAAAAGTATAAATAAACGGATTTACTATCAATTATTCTACAGTTATTTACATAATCTATGTTATACTAAAAGATAATGCTCACTTTTCATTGATGACAAAGTTATCTTTTGAACCAGATACAATATAATACCTAAGCAGGTCATCAAGACCATCAGGATCATTAGCTACTACCATTGTCACATTTTGCCCAGGTTTTGCATCTTCTCTAATGCTAGCTTTGTAATTCATAGGATTGAGATCAAATGTGAAGTCGTCGTTGCTGTCAGGGTTCCGCGGATTTACATTATATTTGTAGTGATGGTAATTGCCTTTGAACGTAGGTCGTTGATTACCTGGTACTCCTACCCTGATATAGACTCGAGTTTCATTGTACATTGGAGGTATTCCTGAAAGAAAGAAATATTGAGTATTATATTAAAAACAGCGTGTGTATAATAAGGAAATCAAAGACAATTATTAATTTTGTACCATAATCAGTTGCTCTAACAACTAATTCATATTGTCCTCTAGGTGTGTCCATTGTTTCCACTTTGTCTATAATTGTAATCTCTCCTGTATTCTCATCAATGTTGAAAACGTTGCCTTTGCGAGTTATGCTGTTATCAGATTCTAGTGTATATTTAATTCGTCCATTTCCTTGTAAAGGGCCGTCAGCATCATTAGCCTGTAAAAGTACAATTGGTATGCTTTTGTACTCTGCATGAAATACATTGCGCGTCTTTGGACAATGCTCATTGTTAATAATGATAATATACTTACTCGAATTACGAACTGAGGTTCAAAACTAGTTGCACCATCTCTGATAGTTCGACTATAGTCAGAAGCTTCGAAAATTGGTGCATTATCATTCACATCTATAACATCGACAAAAATACTGGCCGTCGACCCTTTACCTCCTCCATCTTTAGCGAAAATAGTCAAGCTGTAACTTTTCTGCTTTTCGTAGTCTAAGTTATGTGCGACGTATAAGCCACCCATATTTTTATCTGTTTTGAACATATTAGATCCAAAACCCGTTAATGTGTACTCTATTTCACCAAATATACCATAATCTCTATCTGTAGCATGGACATCTCCTATCTTAGTCCCTATGGTAGCATTTTCTAAAACATTGAACTTGTAACTAGGTTCATTAAATACAGGGGCATTATCATTCATATCTAGTAATTTTATGTTTACTCTAGCTGAAGACACATCTTCACCATCAACTGATGCAATAATGTCAAATATAAAAATTCTTTTCTGTTCATCATCAACATCGTAGTCTAACTTTGATGAATCTTTGACTTTTATGGTTATTGGAGTTCGACCCTCTCCATTATTAGTGCTTATTGAGAATACTCCCTCAGAATTAAACTCATTTTTTAATCTTAGGTTGTATTTGCTATTTTGTCCAATATCGTAGTCTTCTACATAAATAGATAAACCTGGTATGGGACTTCCATTTTCAATGTTTTCTGGTATTGATATATCAAATACGTCATTGTTGAATTCTGGAACGTGATCGTCCACGTCCGTAACGATGATAGTAACGGTTGTGACTGTATAATCGGATGGCACTTCATTGTTGATTAGTTCCGTAGCCTATAACAAAACATACCATTATGTTTACCCCTTCAGGTCTTACTAAATGTATTCAGTATCCCTCATTTGTTTGAATATAGTAAGGTGTAATGTTAGCTATTTGTGTTTGTTAAAATTGTTTTGTAATAGATTTAGAGTTCTATTTATTACCTTCACTAAAAATGAATATACTCCACCATTCTGTACAACCACATCACTTTCTCTATCAATGGGAATACCAGTGGCAACTAAAGTTGCTCGTCCAATAGGCTTTTCAGGTATTAGTTTAAAATAATGCTCCGTGTCTCCCTCGAGGGTTAGCAACACTGGTCTAACATTATCTGTATCACCATCCTTTGCTATGATTTCCATTATACTTGTGTTCTGAAAACCAATGTTTTGTTATTATTTCACTTAGATCTGTACAAGTTCTCGGCATTCAGCATGACTTGTACGTGTCTCATTTAAAAACACTAATCTTTTACAAGTAATAATGGTAACTTTAAAAAGATAAGTCTGTAACTTACCGGTGGAATGTTTTCAGGTACAATAGCAGAATAAGGAGCATTAACAAAGGTAGGTGGTTGGTCCTGCACATCGCCAACAGTAACGGCGACACTGGCTACGGCTCTCAAAGGTTTATCTGATTGATCAGTGGCTTCCAAACTGATTACATATGAAGAACGACTCTCGAAGTACAGCTCATGGTTTAGGAAGATACGGACTTGGTATTCGTTTGATGTTATCTGTAAAGAAGTTTTTTGTAGAAATATAGGCGTAAACCGTTTATAATTTTGAAATTTTTTTCTTATTGTGTTTTTTTTTTCGTAACTTGTTCTTGTTTACGACAGTGGGATTGTAAATAGATTTCGGCCTAATTTCCAACCTTACCTCTTCAGTAACAACGTTAAATGTTACACATGCTTCATTGTCGCTTCCTTTTTCTTTTGTAGTACAAGATATTCTGATTCTTGCATTAACGCCTTCATCTCTATCTGTTACTATTATGTTCGGTTTCACCTGCAATTTTCAAAAAATGTTACGATTATCGCCACAATAACGTGGGTTTCAGAGTGAAGGTTTGTAAAATTGTGGTTATAATAATGGAGTGATGCAACCAGTAAATAGTATGTTGCATGGATGATTCACCATCTACAGGTCTGGTTCGGTAATTCTGGTTCATTGGTTTTGTTTTCTTTTTCCACGATACCTTTTTTGTGGTTGAAATTCACAATAAAAGATTAGGCGTTGATTAGAAGTACGTAAACCTCTAAACTTAAAACTATACCTTTTACTTACTTCAATTTCACTCCCAACCGGTGTTGCTTCACTAATATTAATAAGATAGGGTCTATTGTGAAATACAGGAGGATTGTCGTTGACATCCTTTACTGGAATCACTCGACGGAGAGACACTGTGTTTGGTTCTGTATTTGCTACACCTTCATCTATAATAACAAAACAAAAATATGCAGTTTATTCTAAATGTGACTATATGTACTTGTAATACTTCGTAAATTACGTTGAAGAATTTTAAATTGATTTTTTGGCCTCAAAACACTGATATTGTGTTAGGAGTATAAGATTTCTGTTTGAAATACATCAACGGTTAATTTCGAACTTTGAGTTTAGTTCATGCTATCATTAGGTTACTGAGTATTTGATGTGGCAGAAATGGTTTAGTTCGATGAGTAATTTTTCATTCTCAATAATTGTTGTTTTGTAGTAATCCATTGTTACGAATGTACTAAAATATGCTTCTGTGCTTATTATAATTTTGTATAGATTTATCTTACCTGTGATACTAATAATGACTTCCAGAAATCGCTGCTCTTCTCTGTCAAGTGACTTGGCGAGGGTCACGACACCAGTCAGAGTGTCGACTGCGAAGTACGGACCGGATATCGAATACCGGAGCGGCCCATTCTCTGGATCAATACCTGGAATAGTTTTCATAAGTATCAAGTGATGGGACAAACAAGTCGTGCGCCTAGTGGTAATCAACACGCCTACCCATAGCAGTTATTGTGTCACTCCGAGCTTTAAATCGCAAAGACCAGCGGGGTGCACCAATCCTATTGTTTCACCAGCAACCTTACCCTTCAAAACTGGAATGCAGTAATGCTCATGTTACTGCCTGGCAGCAGAAATAGGTATGGTGGCAGAGCGTCACTGGATGATGATAATGACGCCGTTTCATAAGGAGGCTCTACATTTAATTGTCATGTTAAATACAAAAACGCTATCTATTTGATCTGTGAGTTTGAGATTCGGTTTTTAATATAATTTTTTCAAGGTAATACTTATTCACTAATGTTATATTTGCCCAGAAATCTTTATTTTACGCTATTCACAATAAAAAGTATTCACTGGTGCAATATAGATTTCAAACAGCGCCTGGTTTAGAAGTATTTCTTCTTTCGCAAGCATTATTGCTAAGAGATACAAGTTTATTCTTGCAAATGTAAAAAACAACAGTCATTGAATGATTCGTTTCTGTTACAAGTCTTACCTTTCAAGTGATAAACGGGAGTCCCTACAAGTGTATCTTCAGATATGCTAAACTGCGACATGTCTCCAGTTTGGGGCGCAAAATGCGGCGCTCTATTAATTACTTGGCTAACACATAGTTGTAATAGTGACATCAACAGGAGTATTATTAGAGGATCTGGCGGTGACAGGATTGTGGCCACTTTTCGACGCTGGAATATTATTTCTGCCATCTGAAAATTGATAAGCTTCACGTAAATGTTTAGATAATTATCAATCCTTTCACCACTATTGGGCACGAGTCTTCTCTCAGGTGAGGGTTTAGGCTACAATCCGCCACACTGGCCTAATGCGGATTGGGGGCTTCACACGTTTTCCCAGATATTGTGAACGTTCTTCGACGTGCAGATTTCCCCACGATGTTTACCTTCACTGAAAAGTTCATGGTAAATTTCAAATTATGAATAAATGTTTAGATGAAAAAAGGGCTTTATATAATGATCGTGATTCCTGTCTATGTATCATTCTGCCTTCGCATATAAGATATTATGTAATACTTTTGCTATGTTCTGGGATTTCTAATTTGAAGTTCATTGTACCCGATTCTTTTTCTATATTACAGTTACAGAAGTAAGTTTAAAATTGTAATCAAAATAGAAAATGTTAATTATCTTACATGCTTCCTAATAACACATTATACACAATATAAGGACCATATTTTACGACTTTATAACAACACACTAACAACAGTTATGACAAAAGTGAAATACGAGAAGAAATCTAATATACATACTTGGCCGGTTTAACAAGGCCATCAACTTCCACTGTATGCAGAAGTGACAGGAACAATTTAGTGGCTTGCATTGTTTTATTTCGTATTTGTGTTTGTATCAAGATTATTTGTTTAGGGGAGAGATCTTTTAAAAGTAGTCAAGGATGAAATTTTTACAGAATGAGAAATGACCAATGGTGGCATGAGACTAGAAAAAATGCAAAAATTTATCTGAATAGCCTATTAACAAGAGAGAAAAAATGACTTTGAACGGAGAATGAAAGTCGGAAAACTGGTAGATTGTTAAAAAGTTCTATAATCTTTTATATCATTTTGAACATATCATAATCTTAGTACAGGGTACTAAAAAACCGACCTCAAAAGTCATTGTTAGGTAGAATATTTTCAGAAAAAACACTCAGAAAAAATTCCTTCGATCCGGTCGGATTCGAACCGACGTCTTCTTGCATACCGTGCCAGACGCTATACCAACCAAGCCACGGAACGAACCAACGGACCTCACGAATTTTTCTATGTGCTTGCGTCGTGTCTTTGTACTTGGTCTTTCAACGACTTTTTAGTCGTAGCGCCATCTATGAGAAATCTATTGCAGATTTATCAGCCAGGACTGGTAGCTGTAAAGGTACTAACTGGGTGATAAACCTGCAATAATAACAAACTAGTGGAGTAATTTCACAAAAAATAATTGAATATCATATCGAGTTCTTAGGTTTTCGCGATTGTTACACATAGGAAATGAAACTATTTTTCCGGATTTAAATCGCGTATATTTGTTTTTTCAAACAGACCATGGGACCTGTAAAGGGCCCGAAACGTCGGTTTGTTTGAAAAAACAAATATACGCGATTTAAATCCGGAAATATAGTTTCATTTCCTAATTGAATATCAATTCAATAAAAATTTAATTACAATATTTTCTTCAAATTTAAATAGGACCACTACTTAGGTCCCTCTTTCCAACAAAAAATAATCATCAAAACCGGTTCACAAATACCGGAGTTATCGCGTAACATACAAAAAAAAAACAATCGAATTGAGAATCTAGAAAAAGGACTCGTCTCGCTGTACATCGGGGCCTGCTGGTGCTAACCAGTAAAGGTGCTAAGGCAGTAAATGTTCAATATGAAAGAAAAGGATAAAAGTATTGTCAATGCTCTAGAAATGAGTTGCGCAAGCCTTAGAGACAAAATAATTAACGGTTTAATACGAAAACGTTATGGTGTGAAAGTAGATGTAGTAACTAGGATAGGGAATGCTTTCACGTTTTGGTCATTTAAGTAGGATGGAGGGTATTCTAATAATGACACAAACGTTAAAGAGGGAAACTTATTAATGAGAAATCGAGTTGAGCTGGTCAGATAAAATGTTTATATCCATGCAATGCCACAAGAGCGAATAAGACCCAGAGCGTTTTAATACGGCTCGGGCCGTCTTTATCGCTCATATTAGAAGGGCTTGATGCGATACCGTGTCCATTAGTGTGTTGATTCTCAACGAGTGGAAGTGCATAGACTCATGTATTTACGACTTTTTTTTCTGACTCTGACACTCAGAATTAAGGAAAGTTAGACGAATATATGACAATAATGCTATCATTCGTAGAGTGAAAATGAAAAATTTAGTTCATTAATTAGCTACTATGGGGTTTAGTTGTAATATCTAATTAGGTAGATATCTAATTGAATTTTAACACTAGTAAAATAAATCTGGGCAGCCGTTAAATACGGTCATCAAATGGAGCAATAAGGCCATTATACAATGCTACAGCAAGTGGCTTTTTGCGGTTGTGGATTGAAACAATTCCTTACGTCACACTGCCACGCTTGGGCAAAACTACGATGGTGTAACAACATGTACTAAAGTACAGTGAGTCACGTGCTCATCTTCTATGTACAAATTGTCTTCGTACATGATTGTTGATTTGTGGAAAAAAATCATAACGGTGCGTATTACACATTGGAAATAAATCTATTGTTATCGGATGTAAATCAAGTGTATTTTGTTTTTTTTTTTTCAAACAAACCAACATTTCGTGCCCCTTACAGGTACCATGGTCACGGGTGACTGAGACGGTAAGGTTATCAACCAGTTATGTTTAATATTAATGCAAACCACCCATTGACTTATTGTAAGTCAATGAAACCACCCTATATTTTATGACATTTCAATTTAGACGAATATTTAACTTAGGTTTGTTGTAATTAGGACTTCCTATATTTTTATGTAATTCTAGTTATTATTGTTTTTTTTGTACCTAATGCTTTAAGTTAACTATAATATATGAAGTATTCGCACGCCAGGTTTTGGTTAAATATACGTACCTACTAATTTAATATACTATTTCTAAGTACTTTTTTCAACATATCGTACCTTATATTCTTGTATTCTTGTTAGGTGAACCGCAGTGCATTTGAAATACACTTTGTAACGTAGAACCGCTCTTTATTTCGGCAATTTATGGGAACGTGCGATTCAACTATGTGAATTGTTATTGTAATGCCGTTAGTGAAGAAATCATTGTTGTAATACGGACCAAGAATCATTTTGTTAAATGGAATAAGTTGAAAAAACGAAGCTCAGAACAATGATACTTTGTGCCGTAAAAGCGACGTTTCGGGCGTTTTGATGACGTAACACAATTCAATCAAAGTCCAGTTTTGGTTATTCACTGCTAAATACATGTTCTCTTAGGAGAGGGTTTATATTATACGTGGTCTGTGATATTGGCCAAACCCGAGTTGGTTATTTTACACGTTTTCTAGGCAATTGATTTGGTTGTTAGATAAAATTATAAATGGCACACGTTTTAGAGCAAGCCGCATCGTATATTTGCGTGTATATTTAATATAATTAATTTATCCGTGTATTTATTGATTATGTAGCCTTTAATTTATTTATTTATATCTTTTTATTGTCAACCCAGGAACCAATTTTCCTTCCAGCTATTCAAAGTTTAGTTTGAAGAAATCCCTTTATGGGATAAGCTCGCCTTTATACACTGACAAATTACGTTTGTTAAAATTTGTAATATTTATTGTATAGTAATAATATTTATTTAAATTCGATGTTCATTGGTCAGCAGCAAAAAGCCAACGACACGCTGTGTTCCCAGGCGGTCACCCA